TATTTTAACGTTCTGGACCCACCCCAAGTGAACTCAATTTGCTTCTACCAGATGATGCCCTGAATAACGATTGCGATATTTGCATTCATCTTTTGCAATTATGTCAGATGCCAACAGCAAATCACATTCCCCAGTGGACATAATTATGAACTAAAAAACACTTTAAATACTTATCTTAAAGATAGTATGTTTTTAATTGTGTTAACTTAAGATTATACTTCTATTTTCATCATCTGTTATCTAAACTCTCTTTTTTTGTTTCCGCAATACAAGATGATACTTGTCAATTTAATTTCCGATTTCAGATGGTAAGTAATGTTAGCTTTATTCTCTGTCTCTGCTCAGCATCCTACAGTCTGTTCATGTAAAATATGCACCGGCCCGAACACTAACCGTACAACTATTCTCAGTCACTTGTAATAACGTAGGAAAGGTTATTCACAAGAAAGATCAACATATTGAGATTTTTTCACATTCATCTTTAAAAACAAATCGAGTGCTAGTAGTTGAAAGTTCAAATGAAACATCGGTCTTTGACCTTTGTTCATCTTTAAGTTCCACCTTCTGTTTAAGTGAATATTACAATAAGTGACTGTTGAGATAAAATATGGTTTCTTGGATATTTTCATTAGCTTTGTCTGTTCTTCTCGGTAAGTTTTAAAATAATCATTTTTATAGTTATTTAAGTATAATAAAACAAATGAGTTTTCTAGAAGAGTGAAGACGACATGACACGATTTTCTTTCTGAATGAAGTGGTTTAAAAAGAAGGAATTATTTAATTGTTCCGATAATATTTAAATGAGCTTAGGTTCTTTTTATAGTATTCTAGAAAAAAGGAGACATATTCTTTTTAATTTGGGATACTGTTTCTATGATGATCCATGGGAATAATTTGGTTTTCTATCTATATAGAAGACCAAAATAGTTGAAGGAAAGGACAACAGGATGAGAGTTATACGAAAAAGTACCAATTATTTCTATATAATTCAATTTGTCTTGGAATAACTTATATTTATATTAAATTTTGTTGCTAGAATTATCTGGTGTTCAGCATTAATCAGGGGCGGATCCAGCCATTTTTAAAAGGGGGATTCCCAACCAAATATTAAGGGGGGGAGGGTTCCAACTATACGTCCCCATTCAAATGCATTGATCGTCAAAAAAAGGGGGGTTCCAACCCCCGGAACCCCCTCCCCCCCTTGGATCCGCCACTGCATTTGGTCATTGTTTTGGGACCTTGATAATGGGTTCAATAGATCATTGACTAAAGAGTAGAAAAGCAATTGATATAATGAAACACGGAGATAAAACTTTTAGTTACACTTAACAAAGTTTGTTTGACAGTTCGGAAAACCATGTTAAAATTTCATTTTCTGCCAAAGATCGCAATTTGTATTCATAACGAATATATTTATGTAGGTTTTGCCTGATACATCTGATACTAGCATTTCGGTTTTTTTATTGTTGTGTAATTTTCTTGGTATTTTTTTCTATAGAATAGTCTTTATTTCATCAACGGATTAGACACAACGCATTAAAAACATTAACAATGGATTAATCATTTTGGCTTGTGGAAATATTTGTAGTTGATAAACAGATACAGCATTTGTTATTTTCAAGGTCACACACACATATGTTTTCCTATCAAATTGTGTTAAAGATAAGATGAACTTTTATTAATTAATCTAACCGTAAGACAAATTTACTTTGAGTAAAAATTGCTAAATTAGTTCTGTATATACCAGCGACATATATACAATATGTCTCTGGTATATACAAATCTAAATCGATCTACTGTATAATCAAAATTATCATATGTATGTTTCGTATACCAAAATATAAGTCATTACTTCTGGCACACATGACCTAAAGAATACAAGAGACTGCGTCGTCCAAAACACGCTATAGCCACCAATAACATAATTATGCAAGACAGAAATGTTCATTCACGTGATATCATAATATCAAACCCACTTTTTGAAGAAAGTTCGTGTACATCATAGTCGTATATCTAGAGACATATATACACATGTGTTATGTATATATGTCTCTGGTATATCTCAAAGACTTCATATCCACTGAGACTACTATAATGTTATCCCATCAGATATCCCATTAAATGAGACTTTAAATGATAAAAACTCACCAAAGATACCACTGAGGCTTATAATTTTGTTGCTTACAATTTAATTCGTTCCAAAAATTGGCAAAGTAGAGCATCAATATCTTCAGCAAATACTAGAAAATTGGAGGTAGATAAAAAAAAATGATATGTATTATAACAGAGACATATATACACATGTGTATATATGTCTCTGATTATAATCAAACAATTGTTGGCTTTTGACAAGATTTGATACTCATACTCATATTAGTCGATATATTGTACCAGAGACATATATAGCCTAGATATACATTACAAAAGTAGATAATTTTTCATAATGCTTTTGGCCAATGAGAAAAAAATGGTGTAGTCATACTGGGACTATTATACTAGTTAGTATAATCAGAGACATATAATTATATGTCTCTGGTATAATAGTCCCAGAGTCATATAACAATAGTAAATAGACGTCACTTTAACAAGACTTTTGTAGGACATGTAATATTATGCCCCAGATGTATTGAAAATGACTAAACATATAAAGAAAGGGGGAAGTGTAATTAATTCAGTCATAGATGAATGGGTTCATACATCTATGATCCAGTCAAACAGTCTTAGCAATCATACCACATCTTCTTAGTTTTATATTTAGATCGACCGAACTGTGTAGACCTACGTTGCACATTTCATAATTTTTTGCTAAGTTTGGCAACTGTTATTCTAAGTTTTGTTTATCTGATGTCACTTGCATTGTTCAACTTTTAGCGAAGGGCGTAAAGTGGTATCTCTGCACGGAAGAACGCGAAATAAAATTGCCATTTCACGATGAACGAACAATTAAAAATTTCAAGTCTTGCACGTTGATCTTTTTACCGATTTCACGAAACACGGTGAATATATAACGAACCTTTTTCACGGCTGCACGTGAAATAAAAATGGCAAAACACGTTGCACGAAAACAACCCCTTACCACCCTCTTAAGCGTGTAAAATGATCTGATACATGTAACACTGGTTTCTTTCCCCTTCTCGGGAATAGATCTTTTGCACAGAGTGATGATCGGCAGGGATCAGGTATCTTAATCAAATTGACCCCCACATATCTCTAAAAAAGTAGGTAAAGGTTTCGGATCTCTCTGTCCATACTTAAATATATCTACAATTGAAATATCTAAGTAACTATGGATATCATGGTAACGTCATGTTACCCAATTTCGGCAAATTTTATTGCCTTGAAATATGTCATCCTGAAAACATTGTGCCTAACATAGAAATTAATATTTTAGAATTCTCCATGTATGTCATGTTTCTCTGTACAAATAGTTTGCTAGAAATGGTTCTACTCAATTTTGGCATCACCATAAATTATAAACCAATTTCTTATTTTATAAGGAAATCTCTGTAATAAGCGACAGAAGAATTAACTCTACAATTATATCATTCAATTATATGCCACCGAAAGCTTTATTTTTATAGAGCCTAGGTGGTCGAGTGGTCTAGCGTGTCGGGCATAGTGCAAGGCGATTTGGTGCCACTATATCTCAGTAGTATGAGTTCGAATCCCGGCCAGGGAAGAACAAAAAATTTGCTTCCGCAAAGTTACAGATCAACATTGCTGGGCTGTTGTTTAGACGAATTATATATATATGAAATAACTTGATTGATTAATGAATGGTTAACATCCAGTGGCAGATGTCTCATTTCTATTCAGGGCGATCAAATAACTTGAGAACATTGGATAAAGGATATTAAAGAAACAAAAATCACATATTTTTTTAGGTTGCCAAATTATAGTATTCCTTTCGTACTATTTTCAAAACTTTTATAAAACAAAAATTTCACCTGGTTTTTGAGCTGCACCCTTTTTACAATTGAGCAAAAAGGATAGAATTTAAGCTTTAAGAAATTAAAAAGAAAGAAGAAAGTGGGTCACTGTACTTGTTATCTTGCCACATTACAAGATAGATAAATTTACAGCACATTTCTGTATAAAACCAAATTATATGAGTTATCTCCCCTTTGACAAACCATATGATGAAAGATGCAAAATTGTCTGAAATTTATTGATTTGGTCATAATTTTGTCTTCAGTTGTTTTTGTTTTCTTTGATGTAAACACAAGCATCAATCATGTCAATTATTTACAATTGTATTTTACTCCACTTCAAAGGACTATAGGTTTAAAAAGGCCCATACCCTATATGGCCCCTATTTCTAACTGAAAGATTTATTGGCCATTATCATCATGAATCATAACTTAAAATAATTACTAGAATAGGAAATAGGTCTATTTGTTGAAAATTTACCACTTTGTTCTTTTCATGACATCATAAATCATACAAATTTTGATTTTCCTTGAAAGTCAATATAAACTGGTCAGTTTCCATTTTTTTCTTAGGACTGGAAACATATAGCCCATATATTTTCAAAAAAGATCATTGACATTATGTTTTTTTTACCAAACTTCATATCTGACTTGAATATTTAGTTTGTCAAGCCCTGCTCTCTATGTTTCCTGGCATAAATATGGTTGGAATTCAGACTATTTTGTTAACGTTCATCAAAATTTTGATTTTGGACCTAATCCAGTTGTAAATAGTTCTATTTCTCTTTCTTACATACGTCTGTTTATCAGCTTGAAACACTTTTCTGAAACAATGGAATTATTTCAGGGCCAACTAGGGCCTTTACCGAACTTACTGCTTTGTAAATAGGAATCCGCCTGTCTGTCTGTCTGTCCGAAATTAGTTTTGATTCCTTTGTCAAATTCAAATCAAACTCTTTATATTAAAGATTGATTATGTTTCAACTTTGCAACACTAAGCGTTTTACCTCCATATACATGTAGTATTTCCAGAATTGTGCCCATGAACTTAGAAATTTCATTCTGTTCAGTATGCAGTTTGTGGACGAAACTTTTACAGAGATGAAAATTTCACAGGGCAGAGTAGCACATGGTACTTAAAATTTGAGCTGTTCTACTAAATTTTTCCACAGTTTCGTTTGATCATCTTAAACTGGGCCACCAAATATATTGGCTGGGCTACCTCTTTAGATTTCCGTCCTTGGTCCTACATGCATCATCAGATGTTCATAACACTTTGTACATTGTAAGATCCTAACATGAAGAATGTGCATATTAGTAGGGCATCCTGATACGTGTGACGTGACAACCCCAAATCTAATTGTGTTATGCCCTTTGTACTTTAATTTTTTTTAATAAGTTATTCAGTTTGCTCTTGATGGATCCAACTCCTCCTACATGCTTCTTTAGATGTTGGGGAAACTTTGTACATTGTATGATCTGAACATGAAGATAGGCTAATATTAGTAGGGCATATTGATCCTTGAAAAATCCCAGAGTTATGCCCCTTTGCACTTAGAAGTTTTATGATGCTTTTCAGTATTTATGGATAGATTAAAATAGAAATAAAGTGATCTAACCATTATTTGAAAAAAAGTGTTTTTTTTATATTGGAAACTGTGGATTCATTTATTTTTATGGGTACAGCTAGTACTTTTCATTGGTTGAGGAAACAATTGTATTTTTGTGGATTTTATAAATTCTCCATATATGACAGTCTATAGGAAATATATATATTGTTGAATATTGAAATTAATGGTTCATATATACCAATAAAATCCACAGGAATTGGTTTTTAAGAATAATAATGCATCCACAGAATATAGCAAAAAATTGCAAGTGACAAATTCTTATGTCCATGTACTATATTTATAATTATAAAAAAACAAACTTTTCTTGTTTCAGCTGTTCCTGAAACTACAGGTGAGGCCAGTTTTAAGTTAAGAGGTAACATTGATAAAGAATAAAAAAAGTTGTTGTCTAGCCTCCTCATATGTTGAAAATTAAATACTGTGATATAAGATATAACTATATGATACATGTATCCAGTTAAAGGAACACATTTAACTAAAGGATCTGGAGAAAAGAACATTATTCTTGACCATATGCAGCCCTAAACTTGACATAGAGATTCAGTATACTGTCCAATGTTTTACCCTAGCCAAATCACTTTAATCTCTTTTATTCACCATGTGTTTTAAGTGTAGGCCCCAAGTAAAGAACAATAGGGCATGTCAGTTTCTTCCAAAACTTTTACCAGTTAAGGATCAAATCTAGATCCCTTTCACAGTAAGCCAACACTCTACCAACTGAGCTAAAGGAGTACTCCATTAGATCAGCTACGGGAAGGCATTTATAGAATTATTAATTTAGGGAAGCACACTTACATTGGTAAACATTAGTGATTTAGCCTGAGACCTCAATTATTGCTCTGATATTACAGTTCCCTTAATTTGGCTATTTTTCTTCCCATATTATTTTTTTCATTTTTTCTTAATAAGACTTTTTGAGGTGTATAAATTATAGGAAGAGAAGGCAAAATATAAATGTGTCTTTGCAAAAAAAATAAATGTGTCTGGTGAATTTTTTCGATAATATACTGAAAATTTCAGGACATGAGCTGATTTTTGAAGTGCAGTTGTTTTTAACTTGATAAAAAGGTATTATTTATGAATTGAATGTTTCTTTTTGTAATTTAATTGAGGTGTAAAAGCTTTGAACGTGCACACATTTTTAGCTCACCTAACCTGAAAGGTCAAGTGAGCTTTTCTCATCACTTTGCGTCCGTCGTCCGTCGTCCTGCGTCCGTCGTCCGTCGTCGTCCGTTAACTTTTACAAAAATCTTCTCCTCTGAAACTACTGGGCCAAATTTGACCAAACTTGGCCACAATCATTATTGGGGTATCTAGTTTAAAAAAAGGTGTCCAGTGACCCGGCCAACCAACCAAGATGGCTGCCAAGGCTAAAAATAGAACATAGGGGTAAAACGTAGATTTTGGCTTATATCTCTGAAACCAAAGCATTTAGAGCAAATCTGACAGGGGGTAAAATTGTTTATCAGGTCAAGATCTATCTGCCCTGAAATTTTCAGATGAATCGGACAACCCGTTGTTGGGTTGCTGCCCCTGAATTGGTAATTTTAAGGAAATTTTGCAGTTTTTGGTTATTATCTTGAATATTATTATAGATAGAGGTAAACTGTAAACAGCAATAATGTTCAGCAAAAGAAGATCTACAAATAAGTCAACTTGACCAAAATGGTCAGTTGACCCCTTAAGGAGTTATTGCCCTTTATAGTCAATTTTTAACCATTTTTGTAAATTTTTGTAATCTTTTACAAAAATCTTCTCCTCTGAAACTACTAAGACAAATTTAACCAAACTTGTCCACAATCATCATTAGGGTATCTAGTTAAAAAAATGTGTCCAATGACCCCGCCCGCGAACCAAGATGGCCGACATGGCTAAAAAATAGTACATAGGGTAAAATGCAGTTTTTGGCTCATATCTCTGAAACCAAAGCATTTAGAGCAAATCTGATGAGTATAAAATTGTTCATTAGGTCAAGATCTATCTGCCCTGAAATTTTCAGACCAATCAGGCAACCCGTTGTTGGGTTGCTGCCCCTGAATTGGTAATTTTAAGGAAATTTTGCCGTTTTTGGTTATTATCTTGAATATTATTATAGATAGAGATAAACTGTAAACAGCAATAATGTTCAGCAAAGTAAGATCTAAGGCAACATGACCAAAATTGTCAATTGACCCCTTAAGGAGTTATTGCCCTTTATAGTCAATTTTTTACAATTTTCATAAATTTTGTAAATTTTTGTAAATTTTTAAAAGTATTTTCCACTGTAACTACCGGGCCAAGTTCATTATAGATAGAGATAATAGTAAGGAGCAAGAATATTCAGTAAAGTAAGATCTACAAACACATCACCATCACCAAAACACAATTTTGTCATGAATCCATCTGTGTCCTTTGTTTAATATGCACATAGACCAAGGTGAGCGACACAGGCTCTTTAGAGCCTCTAGTTATTATGAAGCACTTCCCTGCTTCATACAAAATGTGCCTCTGTCAACACTTTTATTGTGCAATAAAATTACAATACTTAGAAGCATTCAATTCATATTTACATTTTTATGCTACAACCATGAAATTACAAGTAAAATCAAGCATTTAATCTTTGTATTTTTTTTAATTTTAGTTCATTTATATGTTTTGGAGTTTAGTGTGACATCCATTTTCACTGAACTAGTACACAATTTTATTTAGGGCCAGCTGAGGACCACCTCCGGGTGAGGGATTTTTTCGCTGTGTTGAAGACCCATTGGTGGCCTTCGGCTTTTGTCTGCTCTTTGGTCGGGTTGTTGTCTCTTTGACATATTCCCCATTTCCATTCTCAATTTTATTTGATTTGTTTTTCTATGCATTGTTCAAATGTTGTCACAGATTACATATATGCAGTCATAGATGTTGCATTTTATACTTCTTGAATGCCTCAGCCAATCAAAATTACAAAGTTCTTTGAAACTTATATCTATGGAATGAAATTTCAAAGATATAATAGTAATTGATAATTGTAGTCTCAGAGCTTTTAGTTGTTGATTAGATAGAATTGAAAGATTACAAAAGTGTGTTGTCATCACATATTATTAAACTTAAATAAAATGATTTGCATAAGAAATAGACTTTTCAGAAAAGCATTACAGGAAAGAAATATCTCACCAAAAAGGAAAACACTTCTCTAATTGAATAAGTAAGGACTTGTCATGCTTTTCATGCAGTAAATAACAGTTGGGAAACATTGCTTTGCCCCAGTTCTATCCATTCTTCTCCATGGAGGTTGTGGACACTGCTTTTATCCAAATACCCATTCTTTACTTTTTGTCTTGCAACTTTTTCATTTAATAATAATATGTACACATATCAATGATATACATATTCCAAGGAATAAGAGAAATACTAGTGTTATTTTTTTTTAATTACAGTTGTGAAATCTATTTTCAGCAATTCTTTATATTGGGCTTATGTACCATAAATTGGATTATTCCAGTTGTGGATTTAAACATACATTTTATTTTTAGATGGTTATTTTACTGAAGAGAATTCCTACAGTTATACATATACATCAACAGTGGAAAGCTCTTTTGTTGGAACTACTCCTTCCAAATCAGGATTTCAATATACTTGTTTAGTGATAATTACAGTTTATACTGGTTTAAAATCAGAATTAAAGGTAATTTAATAAGAGAGAATAAGATGTGAAAGTTTACATAAAAAAGCTGTATTTTGTTTTTTGTTCCGCCTGTGGCCAATGTGAGACATGAATTACCATCCAACAGTAGACTATTTGTATAAAGCTTTATATTTCAGAAGGTAGAAGACCTGGATACTTTGATACCTTTTATGCAGATGTCTTATGTTACTTGTATCTCTGCCATATGTCCATTGTCCATGGCCTCATTTCATGGTTCAGTGACTGCTTGAAAAAAAGTTTAGCTTTTATGTCATGTGAAATACTTACCTATTATGAGCAAAAGGAAAACTATAATTGGTATATGGGATCCTTGCAAGCTTTACATGTCAGTCAGACAGGGTTCACCTGACTTCTACCTCACTTCATAGATCAGTGATCAAGGTTACCGGTAAGTTTTCATGGTCATGTCAGTATGATCTCAGATACTATATCCAATTGTCAATAGGTCAACTATACTTTGGTGTATGGAATGATTGTAAAGTGTGTACATGTCCGACTGGCAGGTTTCATCTGATCTTGACTTCATTTTCATGATTTATTGGTAAATTTAAGTTTTCATGGTTTTGTCCTTTTATCAGATGCTATAAGCAATAGGTCAACTATATTTGGTGTATGGAATGATTTTAAGGTGTACAAGTCTGTCTAGTAGGGTTCATCTGACCATGACCTCATTTTCATGATTACCGGATATGTCTGTTTCTCAGATACTACATGTATAAGCTATATGTAAACTATTATATACATGGTATATGGTATGATTGTAAAGATGTACATGTCTGTCAGACAGGGCTCATATGACCTTGACCTCAGTCACATGGATCCTTGATTATGTTAAGTTTATGTGATACTTGAAATAATACATATTACAGACTTTCAACATAAATTCAATAATGATAAATAAAGAAGGCAAGACATTTCTGCATCTGCACTCTTGTTATAATAGTTTGTATGTAGTTAGATCAAACTCTTTGAATGAACTACATTTAAATACAGAAAGAGCTAGTAGAAGTATGAAGCATTTATACTACCAGAGTTAACAATGAATTCAAAATGTTTGAAATAGATCTATAAATGGTTTGAATGCACATAAAAAAGTGCCATTTGGCCCGAGATCACAGTTATTTCGTAGTGCATTTCTTTTAGACAATAAATTCAAATTAAAAAAATCGCACCTGCTCTATCTCAAAAAGATTTTTACAGTGTAGTGTACTACTATTGATACAAATAATATCAAAATTATAGAAACTTCTACCAGCTCTAACTCAAAATATTGACAATTCTGTGTTAAGGGGGCTAAAATTCAGTTTGACAGCTTCAGACATTCTAATTTTTGACCTTTTTTAACTGGACCAAATCACTACTTAACATAAAGATTCAGCACCCAAATTTTTTTAACATGTAATGTCATCCCCTTACTCAATATTTCATGCATAAAATATCAAGAAATAAATTGGGAAAGTGTATAAAAAAAAAATGCAAGTTATACACTGTTCACACTAGGGACTATATTTGTAGACAACGAAAACAAAAGGACGATAACTGTGTCCTTGGACCTAATAGGATAGAAAGACTTGACCAATTTTAATAAAACTTGGCATGACCTAAGCTTAGGCAATTATAAGATAGTTGGCTAAGTTTCATGGCCATAGGATATATATTATAGAAACTAGGGCCATTTTAATATTGAAATTTGGATGTTTATTTTTGACGTTTAAATCAAATATTTTCAACTGTCAAGATTTTGGCCTAAAAAATTTAAATATTGCAAAAATTTGCTTTTTAAATACTCTTGAATTTAATATAATAAGTATTAAAAGCAACGGAACACTCATTTGATTTATCAGATTTATTACAGTTATTCAAATGTCAAATTCATATGAGCCTGTGCCTGAAAATAGAGATTTTCGAATTAAGGGAAGCCTTACATAAACATGCATTTTTTTCAACCAATTTGAAGTTTTTGAAGTTTTTTAACCATACATTATTCTTCCATATATATATTAAATGTACTTTGAATATAAAGAAAAGTTACAAAAAGCATACCACATGAGTATAAAATGGTCTTAGGCCATGTAAGACTGAGAATTATTTAGAGTCGATTTAGGCCGTAGCCCATATTTACATATAAAAATGCACACAGAGGCTATAAGAAATTGAAATTTGTTACTTTTTGCTCATTTCTATGCTAAGATGTCATGATACAAGAAGTCTAATTGCAAAAGGACTCTTGAATTCAACTTTTTTTTGCAGACAGTATGGTCTGATGACCAGTTTTTCACTTTTCAATGCAAAACTTGCATGTAGTTTTAGTTTCATTAAAGATTGCATATTTTGGCGTTAATATTGATTCACTTATAGGGTCTTTGCATCGGCACTAAACACATTTATTTAAAAACCAGTTGTTGGCATGACACGGGTTATGTTCTTCTCATATATGTTATGATGGTATGATACTAAAGCCCTAACGGGAAGGATTGTGCCTGATATTCATATGATGAAGACATAATCTTTCAATCAGTTTAATTGAAGTCTGGAGCTGGCATGTCAGTTAACTGCTAGTAGTCTGTTGTTATTTATGTATTATTGTCATTTTGTTTATTTTCTTTGGTTACATCTTCTGACATCAGACTCGGACTTCTCTTGAACTGAATTTTAATGTGCGTATTGTTATGCGTTTACTTTTCTACATTGGCTAGAGGTATAGGGGGAGGGTTGAGATCTCATAAACATGTTTAACCCCGCCGCATTTTTGCGCCTGTCCCAAGTCAGGAGCCTCTAGCCTTTGTTAGTCTTGTATTATTTTTAATTTTAGTTTCTTGTGTACAATTTGGAGTTTAGTATGGCATTCATTATCACTGAACTAGTATATATATTTGTTTAGGGGCCAGCTGAAGGACGCCTCCGGGTGCGGGAATTTCTCGCTGCATTGAAGACCTGTTGGTGGCCTTCTGCTGTTGTCTGTTCTGTGGTCGGTTTGTTGTCTCTTTGACACATTCCCCATTTCCATTCTCAATTTTAATTTTAGTTTCATTTGGCATATATTTGAACCACTTACTATCCTAAAGAAGAAAATTATGGTAGCATATGAAATGAATAGGGTGTACTGATCATTGTAAAGTGTTTTTTTTTTAAAGATTTAGTGAAATATTTGTGATGGACTACAGATTTTATGTACAAAGCTCTTCACATTTCACATACATCAAACAGGCCGTTTAACCAGGGACATAAATACAAATATTCTGCACATTTTTTCTGTGATAATCTACTTTTCTCTAGATTCCGAGTTCACAAATGGTTAATTAAATTTGATTTAAGCATAGAAACACAAATATCAGGAACATAAAAAGCTGTCAGATAGAAAGTCAGCATGGCTCTTAGGCATAAAATGGAAACTGCTTTAAAATGCTTATTTTAGCCGTATAATGCCAAAATGGGACATTTTAACAGAATTTCTGTCAAACAAAGATGTAAATCCTTTACTTTTATTGAGTTTGACAAATTGAAACCAGCAAACCATTCAGGAAAGTTGCAAAAGTACAGAATCTACATTTACGGAATTCATCTCTTAGGCCCGAGATCACAGTTATTTCGTAGTGCATTTCTTTTAGACAATAAATTCAAATTAAAAAAATTGCACCTGCTCTATCTCAAAAAGATTTTTACAGTGTAGTGTACTACTATTGATACAAATAATATCAAAATTATAGAAACTTCTACCAGCTCTAACTCAAAATATTGACAATTCTGTGTTAAGGGGGCTAAAATTCAGTTTGACAGCTTCAGACATTCTAATTTTTGACCTTTTTTAACAGGACCAAATCACTACTTAACATTAAGATTCAGCACCCAAATTTTTTTAACATGTAATGTCATCCCCTTACTCAATATTTCATACATAAAATATCAAGAAATAAATTGGGAAAGTGTATAAAAAAAAAAATGCAAGTTATACACTGTTCACACTAGGGACTATATTTGTAGACAACGAAAACCAAAGGACGATAACTGTGTCCTTGGACCTAATACCATTTCTTCAGGTTAAATAGTAATTTCTATAAAACCAGTGCATTTTGTACGTTGAATTTGTTTTAAATGATATGTTAGTAAGAACATTTCTATAATGATATTAAATTTATATTGATTGTTGTTTTCAAGCACATAAAGATATAGAATTGTTATGAAGTTTATATCAAAGGATTGTATCAGCAATGTCGTATAAGTTAAAAAATAAGCCATGATCAATTATTTTTACAGGACTTATGTCTCTGAAATGTAATTTATAGTTTATGATGAACATTGCATTGTAAGCACTCCCACACCTACATTTCTTGTTCAATTTTATGAAGTTCATATCAAAGGTGTATATTAGCAAGCCAAGGTCTTGGAAGAGTCCAGAACAACTATTTTTACAGGAATTATGTCCCTTGGAAATAAAAATATATGGAAAATAACAATGTTAACTATTTCATAACTACATTTCTTGTAAGATGATTATAAAAAGTTTAAAAGAACCAAAAGAATTTTTTTTTAGTTATTGCCATTTATTAGATAAAATATTTGCAACATTGGGGACATTGGAACTCTGTTCTTTCATTTATCTTTAATGAAATCACAATAAAATTTGTGCACACATTGTCTTAGATATATACATTGTTTACAGTGCAAGCAATATTCTTCTTGAATCCGAAGTTGAATTAATTTGTTTGTATGCAGGTTAAGAACTGTAATGTATACAAAAGAGTTGACAGTGAAACAGAAGAATATACAGAAGTTCTGTCAAGTCAGCTTTCAGCAGATGTTAGCAGGTACAATAAAGGATATATATACAACATTCATACAGTGTAGGAAAATATAAAATTTATTTGACGAGCTGTAGAAACAGAGAGAAAAGCAAGGCTCCCACAGCTTTTTTTCGAGCCTTCGACTTTTGTCGAAAAAGCGAGACATAGCAATCCTACATTCCGTCGGTGTCGTCGTCGTCGTCGTCGTCGGTGGCGACGTCCACAAATATTCACTCTGTGGTTAAAGTTTTTGAAATTTTAATAACTTCCTTAAACTATCCTGGATTTCTACCAAACTTGGACAGAGGCTTGTTTATGATCATAAGATAGTATCCAGAAGTAAATTTTGTAAAAATAAAAATCCTGTTTTTCCGTATTTTACTTATAAATGGACTTAGTTTTTCTGCCAGTTAACATTACATTCACTCTGTGGTTAAAGTTTTTAAAATTTTAATAACTTTCTTAAACTATCCTGGATTTGTACCAAACTTGGACAGAAGCTTGTTTATGATCATTAGATAGTATCTAGAAGTAAATTTTGTAAAAAAAAAAATCCTGTTTTTCCATATTTTACTTATAAATGGACTTAGTTTTTCTGCCAGTTAACATTACATTCACTCTGTGGTTAATGTTTTTAAAATTTAATAACTTTCTTAAACTATCCAGGAATTTTACCAAACTTGGACAGAAGCTTGTTTATGATCAAAAGCTAGTATCTAGAAGGAAATTTTGTAAAAATTTATTTCCTGTTTTTCCGTATATTACTTATAATGGACTTAGTTTTTCTTCCAGTTAACATTACATACAGTCTGCAGTTAAAGTTTTTAAAACATTTATTAGATTCATAAACCATCCTGGATTTTTACCAAACTTGGACAGAAGCTTCTTACAATCAAAAGATAGTATCAAGAGGAAAATTTTTAATAATTTTTTCCCCATTTTTGTTGACATAGCGATCCTACATTCCGTCGTCGTCTGAATTAAGGGATAAATCATCAAACAATGCAAAAATTATCTTCTTTATCATTTGTTCATTCAATAAATTTATGTTTCAACTCTTTTATAAATCTATAGATTTGATTGCATACTGTATTCATTTTTACGAGCATAACTTATTTCATACATTTCAATTGTTTTATTTCATTAACTGTAAATCTATTATGTGCATTCCCCTATCACACTGAAAACATAGATAACAGCAAAAGTAGGCGAGACACTGGGTTCCGCGGAACCCTTACGAATTTTTTCCTGTTTCATAGCGAATACAAATAAATGAGCTTAAACATATAGTTTTTTCCCATCCAAATCGTTATTGAATGAAATCAGCAAGACTTAAACGCGGACCGCAGTGAGGACGGTGACTCCTGAGGACCCCAAATTGAACTGTTAAGTATACAGTAATTTGAACAAAACTGTTAATGCATGCCAGGAGACTATAAACATCTAGTATACATTTATCGGTTCATGTTATCTGCCACCCTGTATTTGTATAGTAGAGAGGTCAATTGCGGGATAAAGTCTAGTAACTTTGACATTTTGTTAGTTTTTGATTTTATCTGATTCGTTTGTCAGAACTTGCTGCTGTGTTTGTGCTAAGGCATCTTGAAAAGGACAGGCATGACCTATAGCAATTTTTGCTATTAATCTAATCAGGCACTTTGGTTTAAAGTTTTTAGAGTGTTTTTTCATTTTTTTTTGTCTTGTGTGTACTTGATGAAGGTTATTCCAGAAACATTTCACTCACTATGAAATTGGCACTATACATTTATTATAGTAAAAGGAAGCTGTAGCTCATTTTGTCTCACAACCTCAAGAAATGATATTTTTAAAATTTTGTTTTTCAGATATCCCCTCCATTTTACTTTCACTAACAACCAGATTGATGCTAGTAGAATACAGGTACACAAAGATGACCCAGTTTATAGCATCAACATCAAACGTGGCATTCTGTCAGCTTTACAGCTGGAGTTACTTGACCCTAATGAGAAACAGAAAACTCTCTCCCAGGTAATATTTATACAATAAACTATAGTTACCTTAAAAAACTTCTATAAAGGATAGGCACAGGCTGTGTATTGTTTTTTAACTGGATTTTCTGAATTAAAAAAAAAAGTTATTAATTTGATGAAGTACGTCAATTGGACAGGTGGCGGTTGCCAACAGTTTCCGTGCAATAACTTATGAACCGTTCAACCTATACTTTTTTAATATGTTGATACTAATGACAAAATGGAGGTCAAGTCGCTATTGACAATGTTCACTTTTACTGTTCAGGAGTTATGGTCCTTGATATATTAAAAAATGGCTCTTTATGTCGTTTCGGTTCAAAAACTTATGAACCCTTCTACCAATGGTTTGTAAATTATAGTATGTTATTACTGATGATAAAATGGAGGTCAAGTTTAATATTTTACGATTTTCACTTTTACTGTTCAGGTCTTATGGTCCTTGATCTATTGGAAAATTGCATTTTATGTCATTTCCATGCATTTACTTAAGTAATGTTCAACTTATGCACTTAAAAGTTTAATATGCTGTTTCTGATGACAAATTGGTGGTCAACTGTGAAACTGTGATTTTCATTTTTGCCATTCAGGAGTTGTGGTTCTTGATATATTGGAAAATAGGCATAGAATGTGGCAGGTCAGTAAAGCCTAAAAGCACCTTTCAAAATATAGAAAACATAGTTTGCTGTCAATTTGACATCTCATTCCTTGTCTTAGATTTAAATAAGTTCATTATGGGTAAAATAGGAGTCATTTGAAATTGGCCTTTGATTTTTTTTAATTTGACACTTATGTTCCTTTGATATTGAATATTGGTTTCATATAACAATTTGTTTCTAATTCCTTTTTATCTTATTTTTGAATGATTGTATTAAATATCTAAATACTTGACAGGTTGATATATTTGGTCCATGTAGCATTCACTACAACGTGTATGACCACATCCCTGGTAGTATATTCACCTACAGAGATGTGACAGTGTGTGACATGCCACAGATATACACATTACAGATGAGATTCTTCTCTGTCATTAAGAAAATCCATGGTGGATACAGAGAAAGACAAACATCAGAGGTAAGACCAGTGTTTAGGAGAATAGCCTGCTTGCCAATTTGCTTCTGCTAATACACACTTTTAACACCAGTTGTTTCCCTTTGCCAATTACAGACTGATTCTAAACTGGACAAATTGGTCCAAAGTGATATATAAGCATTTTAAGCAATTTTTGTTGAAAAATAACTTTTTTTAGCTTAACAAAGGATTAAATGTAAAAATGTAATTAAAAGATTTGAAAAAACTTAATGATTACATACATGATGCTCAGATAAATTTGCTCTTTCTACTAGTTCTTCATTGTCAACAAAAACTTTGTCCACTCATAAACATAATTACCTCATACCATATGTAGTTGTGTATCATATCTTCTAGCACATCTTTTTATCAAAAGACTTTTAGGGTACCCCATGGACTGAACTTTTGAATAGAATTTAAAGTTTTTGGCACTTTAAGTTAAGTTAGAGTTATTTGCTGAAACATTTTGGAAAATTTGAAAATTAAAAAAAAATATTATTTATTGTATGGATGTGTTAACAAAATATATTTTTTTTCTTTTTCAATTTTCAGCCTATTTATCCATTCAGATCAACTGTTAGATGTGAATACAAGATATCAGATACTTTAATCAATTCTATAGATTGTCTGCAACAACAATCCTTCAGGCCATCAGCTAACAATGGCAGTATATATGCCACAGCAATTACAGATGTGCGGTAAATATACTTATAGTTAATCCTGAATCTAACAATCAAGGTTGGTATCCTCCTCAAAAACTATATATTGTATATTGTATGCGGTCCAGGTTGCAATTTTTGTTTTGTGTCTGACTGTGATTCTTTAAATCTGATTTTCTGTAGGACTTGAATGTATTTGGAAATATTTCCAAGATAAGTTAAATAATTGATAGATGCATGGGTCACTTTAAGTTATGCCAGCTTTGACCAAACATTAATTTTATCAATGTCTCCAAGATGGCCCTTTTACTTAAAAATAAATAAATCTGAAATACATTTTGAAAAATAAGTTTTACAGTTTTTTTTTCTTCTGAATTTAATGGTTATAACTCCTATTATGCATCACACATTTGCACTTTTTGTGTACATAAGAAATGTAGGGGCAGTTTGAAAAGTTTTGGAAATGAAGAAAGATATGTTAGAATTTTTAGAAATTTAAAGTTGCACACATTTTCTGCGCTTTGTATTATGTGGAACACTTAAATAACTTTAAAAATGACATTTATAGCTTTCTTTGATAGCCAGAAGTTCCAGTTTAGAAGTGCCACTCCCTTGACATCAGTTGATGAGATAGAATTGTCAGCAGATATGAAGACAGTTGATTTTCTGTTTGAATTTTCCAAAGAAGAAGAGGTTTCTGTTTCACAGGAAATAGTCCAAAACCAGCTGGATGCTTTGGTTAAATCCTTCAGGGAGCTTGACCTGCAGTCATGGCCTGAACTATATCAAGACTTTGTATGGTTTATGAAGCATTCTACAGAGGAGAATCTACAACTTATTATCAATGATGTACTAGATTGTCATGGAAACCAAGATGGAACTTGTGACCTTGAAAAAAAGGTAAGCAAGAGTTAAAAGATTTTATTGAAAAAAAACAAGAAGGTCATTTGTATAAATTGGTTTGGTCAAAAGTTAGTTATTGCTTTTATTTAGTAAATAAGAATTAGTGCAGTGATTCATGTTTTTTTGAAATTCTCCTCAGTATTTTTTTGTAAAGGTTCTAGGTCTCCTGAAATTTTGATCGTATCAGAACCAGCTTTATCATCACAACTCCTCCTACATGGTTTATCAATTCAAAATGTAACTTACTACATTATTAGGTCCTGATATGCATGTGAGTAGGATGTTCTGGTCCAATGAAGTTTTTGTCTCGCCTTGACGGAGTCAAAAAGTGAGACATAGGTATGCTGTTTCCGGTGTCGGCGGCGACGGCGTCAACAATGTATTAGTTTGTGATTAGGTCTAGATTATGGTGAACCACTAGTGGTAGGTCAATGATATTTGGTATGCAGTTGTAATAGCATTGGCACATCTCATTACCTTGTAGATTATTTGGCCCCGCCCCCGCAGTCAAGGTCTATTGACTTTGAAACTTTTCATAGTTTACATGTATTAGTTTGTGATTAGGTCAATTTATGGGGAACCACAAGTGGTAGGTCAATGATATTTGGTATGCAGTTGAATAAGCATTGGCACATCTCATTACCATGGAGATTATTTGGCCCCGCCCCCTCAGTCAAGGTCTATTGACTTTGAAACTTTTCATAGTTTACATGTATTAGTTTGTGATTAGGTCAATTTATGGGGAACCACTAGTGGTAGGTCAATAATATTTGGCATGCAGTTGTATAAGCATTGGCATATCTCATTGCCATGGAGATTATTTGGCTCCGCCCCCTAAGTCATGGTCTATAGACTTTGAAAATTTTGCTAAGTTAACATGTATTAGTTTGTGATTAGGTCAGTTCAAGGGGAACCATTAGTGGTAGGCCAATGTTAATTGGTGTTCAGTTGTATAAGCATTAGCACATCTCATTTCCATGGAGAATATTTGGCCACGCCCCCTCAGTCATGGTCTATTTACTTTGAAACTTTTGCTTAGTTTACATGTATTAGTTTGTGATTAGATCAGTTTAAGATGAACTGCTAATGTTAAGTCAATGATATTTGGTATGCAAATTTATTGGCATTTGCAAGTATCGTTTCCATGGAGATTATATAGCCCCACCCCTGATCATGGTTCATTGACTTTTAAACTTTTACATAGTTTACAAGTTAATGTTTGTGTTTAGGTTTGTTTAAAGGGAACGACTTATAATAAGTCAATGGTATTTGGTATGCAGTTGTATTAGCATTGGCACATCTCATTCCATGGAGATTGTTTAGCCATGTACCTTCAGTCATGGTTCATTGACTTTGAATATTTGCATAACTTACATGTTAAAGTATTGCTATTTTAATTTCAACATTTGCATTATCAAAATTACAAAAAGGCGAGACATATCTCTGTGATAACAGTTTATTAGTGTTATGTTCCTTTTACCATAGAAATTTTGGCCTTGTCCAAAACCGACCTTGTCATCGTAACTCCTCCAAGATGGTTCATTATATCTATATAAAACTTAGTATATTGTTAGATCCCAATATGCAAATATGCATGTTTGTAGGATGCACATGTATTTAAGACAAAATCAAATAAAACACTTAGAAAAAGTTCCAAATTTATATTATCAACTTCTTTGATTCCCTTTATTTTAGTTACTAGTATACTCAGTCCAGCTTAGTGGACAGTTGTAATTAGTTTTGTTTGCTTTGTGTATAAATATAACACCCTGATTAATCACATTCAGTTTCTGTAACAACCATTCTACTAAGCATTATATTACATTTTTTTCTTCAGATGTTAGAAGAAGAATATTTTGTGGATGGTTTGTTATCCTGTGCTACACAAGCCTGTATTACTGTGTTTACAAGATGTATTAAAGAAGACCATGTCACATGGTTTACCAGTAGATATTTCCTATATGATCTAGCTATAAACCATGAACCAACTGAACAGTCAGGTCACCTTGTTCTGGTAAGTTAGATATTTCCTGTATGATCTAGCTATAAACCATGAACCAACTGAACAGTCATGTCAGCTTGATCTTGTTAGTTAGATATTTCCCCTGTGATCTAACTACAAACCAGGAACCAACTGAACAGTCAGGTCAACTTGTTCTGGTAAGTAAATATTTCCTGTATGATCTAGCTATAAAGCATGAACCAGCTGAACAGTCAGGTCAGCTTGTTTTTGTAAGTTAGCTCTTCTTGTATGATCTAGCTATAAACCATGAATGAGCTGAACAGTCAAGTCATTTTGTTCTTGTAATTTAGATATTTCTTGTACGATCTAGCTATAAGCCATGAACCAACTCAACAGTTAGATTTTTGTAAGTAGATATTTCTTTCATGAGCTAGCATTAAAAATGAATAAAGGGAAAATGGGTATTAAGCAGATTTGTAATAGATATTTGGTTATAAATTGATATTCTCACTAAAGTATCATAGGCGGATCCAGGGGGGCCTGGGGGCTCAGGCCCCCCCCCTTTTGTGGGAAAAATTTGGTCCATTATATAGGGAATCACTGAAGCATGACTGGACCGCCTTAGGTCAGTCAGCGGGCCCCCCTTATGAAAAGTTCTGGATCCGCCACTGAGCATGATCGAGTTGTAAAATAAAATTCAGATTTTCCCCCTGAAGAAGGATGGGCCTGTTGTTTATGTGCAGTATGAGAAACTACTAATTCAAACTCCATTAAAGCTCACCAAAGATACCAGATATTTATAGTTTAATATGCCAAATGTGCCTTTCATCTACACATGACTAATCAAATGCACTCAATCAAAACCCTGTGTAGATCAAATCATTAATGATTTTTTTTTTCTCAGAAAGTTTGCAAATTGGATCCCATGAAGACGAAATACTTTTACTATGTCATACAGTGTTTATTTATTAACTACCGGCTTTTACACTATGTCACAACTATTTGATTTGTTTAAATTGTTTCTTATTTGTTTCAGGATATATGTAAAAAGACAAACAGTACCAGCTGTTGGCTCCCACTCAGTGTTATGGTTAATAAGCTGTATACATCAACAACTTACCAAGATTTAAAACAGGTAACAAAACATCTTCAACATGTCATATTCAGGCAGCTTTAGTTTTCCAGAATCCTTAATTTTTCAACTTTACTTGGTAATTTGTGGCTTCCTTTTTTGCCTTTTTTCTTCAAAGTGCCTAAGTTTTCTCACTTTCTGTAAAAAATACTTTTGATAGAGTTGATATGATCAATGCTTCATATAATTTGATCAACTATTGTTTAAAAAATATTTAAAGCTATGGCTAATTTTAGTATTTTATGTAAGCAGTATAACTATGTCATTTAACTTATATTACTGGGGAATTGGTATGACAAGTACATTGGCTTCTTACACGTCCTTGAAAGATCTTGAGAATGAAACTTGAAAGTGCAAGGTCTTATGAGTGTTAAACTGTGGTAAGGGTTCTTGAAAATACTTAAAAACAGGAAATTATATTAAGCTATTTATATCGTAGAATATTACTTATAAGGTAGAGTTAATTAAACAAATGTGAAGAATGCGGTATGATATAAAGACATATTCAGTCTTTGTACCAAAAATGACCACAATAAGAACAGACAATGTTGAGTCATAGCTTGCTGACTGTTATTCTATAAAAAATAGTGGTACATTGTATATGCATAGTACAAATGAATATTTGCGCTTGAGAACTGATGACCTTCTACTTACGTCCAAGAATAATTTGTATTATTATACCTTACATATATTTCAAACAATTCTATTGGGTAAAACGTTATCACGTGACATGGAATAATTCAGTTAATTTTCATTCAATTGCAAGGAAGAACGAATAACCCTTAAAATTTACACCAGCGTTGAATAACCCTATTATTCACCGGCGAATAACCTTTTTAGTTTGTTGATTTGTACTCATGAAAATGACGTCACAGACGTAAATAAACAAAATGGCAACATTCAAGTTACAGGAAGCCCATTGATCGAGAGAAGAGGAAATAAGGCTTTTGACGTGCATCTTGTGCCGATGATATCTCTAATAACGGTCCTTTTCAGGGCCATCAATATTTTACAAAAAGAATCTACCTTTGTTGTACATACGAGAATTCTAAAACACAAATTACATGTATTTTTGAACGTCAACTTGTGTTTGTTACTGACTCAAGTAAGGGTAAGTGCTTTTACAATGATTCAAAACGCCCTTCCACTGTTAGTTCGGTATAATAAAACAATTGTGGCCCCTTAGAAGCGATGAATATCCAAAATTGTCAACCCTTAAAAGTTATTTCACTTCGGGCTGCTCCCTCAGTGAAATAACCTTCTCGTGTTGACAATCTTGGATATTCACCTTTTCAACGGGCCATAATTGTATATTGTACTTTCTTGTTATGCTATGTACATTGAATCATCAACACTAACCCTACTTTTTATTTTAGTTGCCATGCATTCATAAAAATGATGTGTACATTTTTTACTTGCATTTTTGTCATTTTAACTGTATGGAATCCACTCTCACTCAATGATTACTGATTCTACATTATAAAAGATGTTAATGTTTGTTAATTCTTAAAAAAAAGCTTTTAATGAAATATCTGATGTTCTTTTAATAAGAATGACAAGAAAGAAAGAAATATTTTCCATTTTTTTAACAAATGTTATTTATAATATTATGAAAAGTGTGCAACGTTTACAGTATTGACATTGTTTTTATGTACATGTTTTCACCAAAAATGTAAAAAGTTATATTTAAACACTGTATGTCAATTTCAGAAGGAAGGTGTAGTTTTTCAAGCAATTTCTACCTTGCACGAGGCTCTCGATAATGCACTGCAGACAAAAGAGGAACTTCAAACAGTAGGGGCCACAATTAGTGTGAGAACTTTAAAGGTAAAATTTCTTATTGTATAAATGAGAATGTTTTTTTTTTACAGATTGTTGTCTTGGTCTTTCTTACCGAAATGTTCAGCTTTTAGAGAAGTTTGTTCCTGTTTTTTTTTAACTAAATTTTGTTAAGTTTGTTCACATTGTTTTTCAGACAGCTGGAAAAGAAACTCTTATTTTAACTCATAAATGATACCTCAAAAGAATTTGTTCAAAGAATTTATTCAAATTAGTACAAAAATAACCATATTAAATGTGGATATTCTAAGTTAGTCCAATAGTCAATGAGTTATTCTTTTGTTGTTTTTTGGATTTTAAAGAAATATGTTGATGCAGTTGGTGTGCAATAATTTAGTTATTCCTTTTTTCTTTTACTAGCATAATATGAAATATTGTAGTTTGTTGAACATCAACTCACCAAAAGAGCATCATTTCATTAAGAGCGTGGAAATAATGTTTGAAAAATGTTATATATATATATATCTTTAGGCCATTGGAAATATTGGTGAAGCTGTACAGGAAGTGTATGATACAGATGGAAAGTTGGTCAGAACTATCCTTGATTTGTTTGACAATAATGATGTACCTTTCAAAGTTACCAAATCTGCAATTCAGGTACAATTTTCACAACGTTAGATAGTTTTGTTTGAAATATGTTTTGGAAAATGTAAATCTAGAAGTATAAGGTCAGAATTGACAATACCTGCTTGCTGATTTAAACTGTAATGTATCTAATGTTATTTCCTTTGTTAGATATCTCAGTTTAATAGATTTTGTTCTGTTTAACACAAATGTTGATTTTTATACGCCCGTTTACGGGACGTATTATGGTATACCTCTGTCCGTCCGTCCGTCTGTCTGTCCGTCCGTTCGTCGTCAACATGTCGGACATTAATTCAAAAATGCTTTAACCAATATGCATGAAACTTTGGTGAATTGTTTATATCTATTGATGTGAGCTCCCTTTCATTTTTTATAAATTTCAGATTTACCATTTCTTGAGTTTTGGGGTTTTATTCATTAAAAAAGGGGGGATTTTCCAGTTTTCGGACAATAACTCAAAAACAATTTCACCAATTTGCATGAAACTTTTGTAAATTGTTCATATCTATTGACGTGAGCTCCCTTTTGTTTTATATAAATTTTGAATTCACCGTTTCCAAGTTTTGGGGTTTTATTCATTAAAAAAGGGGGGATTCTCCAGTTTTCGGACAATAACTCAAAAACAATTTCACCAATTTGCATGAAACTTTTGTGAATTGTTCATATCTATTGACGTGAGCCTTCTTTCGTTTTTTATAAATTTCGAATTTACCGTTTCTGAGTTTTGGGGTTTTATTCATTAAAAAAGGGGGGATTTTCCAGTTTTCAGACAATAACTCAAAAACAATTTCACCAATTTGCAAGAAACTTTGGTGAATTGTTTATTTCTATCGACATGAGCTCCCTTTTGATTTTTATAAATTTCAGAATATATATTTATGGGGTTTTATTCATTACAAAAAGGGGGATTTTTCAGTTTTCAGACAATAACTCAAAAATGCTTTCAGCATTTTTTATGAGACTTTGGTAAATTGTTTATATCTTTTTTTGTAAGCTCCCTTTTGATTTTTATAAATTTTCGATTTTACATTTCAGAGTTATAAGATTTTATTTGTTTATAGTCTGACAACACATGTACTAAGTATTGCGCAACAGCACAGTGTATTGCACAACAGCAAAAAATCTTTCATATAACCAATTTCAAGTTCTTTGACTACATTTATTCAGAAACCTATAATATATCAAATATTTCAATTACAATCCAAATTCAGACCTGTATCAAGCTTGAATAATGTGTCCATTTTTGCCCCAACTGTTCAGGGTTGGACCTCTGCGGGCGTATCCAGCTGCGCTCAGCGAAGCAGTTTATTTCATTTTTTTGTCTTGCTTGCCACGAAAGTGGCAGATGCAAGACATCAGGATGTTAATCCGGCAGCAACAGTGAAGACTATTTGTATAAAAGTTTATATTTCAGAAGGAAGAAGACCTTGATATGTCAAACCTGGTATACAGATTACTTATGTTCTGAAGTTACTGTCAGTTGTATCTCCATTGTCCTTGATCTAATTTTAATGGTTCAGTGAATGTTTTGAAAAACTGTGTTAAGTTGTTTTTTTTTATTACATGAGTTTCTCACTTATTATGAGAAACGGGATATCTTATTTTAGTATATGGGATCCTTGCAATGTCTACATGTCTCGCAGACAGGGTTCACCAGACCTTGACCTCATTTCATGGACCAGTGATCAAGGTTAACTTTTCATAGTCAAGTCCATATCTCAGATACTATAAGCAATAGGACAACTATATATTTGTTGTATGGAAGGATTGTACATTGCACAGGTTTGTCTAGCAGGATTCATCTGAACTTGACCTCATTGTCATTGTTCACAGAGTTCTCAAAAGTGGTTGTCCTAAGGTTTTGACCACCAAAGTTTTGCAAAGGACCGACACAATTTTGGTATTTTGCAATAGAAATAATAGTGAGGACCAGCAGATTTTCTTTAAGGACCACAAGGGAAAAAAAGATTTTAAGAACTCTGGGTTCATTAATAGTAAGATGGTGTGGCTAATTCTGTTTCTCAGATACTATAAGCAATAGGCCAACTATATTTGGTGTATGGAGGGACACATTTGTCTAGCAGGGTTCGTCTAATCTTGACCTCATTTTCATTGTTCATTGGTCAGTTTTGAGTTTTCATGATTAAGTCATGTTCTCAGATACAATAATCAATAGATAAACTATATTTGGTGTATGAAATTTTTTTAAGGTGAACATGTATGTCTGGCAGGGTACATCTCACCTAGACCTCATTTACATGGATTATTGACAATGTTAAGTTTATGTGATGCTTGTAGTAAAACCTTTATTTTAAAGACTTTCAAATTCTAAAAGTTTTGATGCAGTTGTCAACTAAAAGACTTCAGACTTACTTAAATATTTTGATGTACTGTAAATTCAGAAATTATTGTGTGCATTCATTATTGCAAATATTAAAGAATGGACTAAAATGGGAGATTAATTATTGCGATTTCAGGAAAATCTGCATACAATTAGATGGATCCGATATTAGAATGCAAGTTCTTATTATTACGATACTTATTCAGTCATATTATTCACATTAATTAAAACCTCACAATAATGTCTGAATTTACATTACATTTAAGATGTGTAAATGGTTTTAAATTTAATTCTGAATGCATGAAGAGCAGTTTTGGGAAATAGAATGATGAATGTTGGGCAGGCGTGCAGAGGGATTGGCATGTTTTCAGTATTGAGAAAGTTTTTTTTATGTTTTTTTAATAGTCTCTAAATTTTAAGGTTTCTTTATCAGAATGAATTCTGATTAACTTCACACATTCTAAATTCAGTTCTCTTGATAATAATATTTACTTTTCCTAAATTATGACCTTTGGAATTGGAGCAAGGAGTTATGTTTTCAGTAATGTATTTTGATAAACACATTTCAGGTTTTTGAGAACATGAAATTGACAAGCACAATCAAGGAAAAGCTGATTTTATTGACATCAGATATAAACCGACAAGCTGTTATAAGAACAACTGCATTTTCTGTCCTTATGATATCTGAAGAGCAGGACATAATTTATAAAATGATCAACCTGATTCATTCTGAACAGATGAAATATATGCAGACTTATATGGTATCTTATATACAGGGATTGTTGGAGAATGATCAGCCAGATAAAAAACAGTAAGCATATCAGAAATGACAGGCTATAAATGGTATTATTCTTTCATACTTATTGTTTAGGTTCTTAATAATTTCATATCATTAGGAAGAAAGTGTGGGGTGGTTGGGGTGTAAAAGAATCATGGCAAGATTTTTGTTTTTATTAATAGAATTTCTTTTTTAAGAAACTTTCAAAATTATTTCTATTCCAAAAAAAAAAACATCTTCTGTTCTGCCTCTGTCCCATCTGGAACTTCGGAGAGTCTTGGATTTTTATGGTAGAAGGGGTGTCTTCAGCCATCTTGAATTGTAAAAAAGCATAAAACAATCTGAATGAAATATACAAGATTTTACAAATGAAAGCAATTGATTTGTCAGACTTTTCATCATTAAGAAGAAAGTCATGTATTTTTGTCTCACATTGACTAAGTCAAAAAGCAAAACATAGGTCAGTGTCTGCATCAACAATGTATAAGTAAGTCAATGATATTTGATATGTAGTTGTATAAGCATTGGCACATCTCAATTCCTTGAGATTTTTATTTCAACATTTGCAATTTACTATCAAAATAACAAAAAGAGACATATTTTTGTGTTAACAGTATATATCTTAATATTTTAATTGTTTTAACAAAAACAGAATATTTTTTGTTTGATACAATTTATTTCAGCTCATCAATAAAAGGGGACATAACTTAGATAATCTAAATCTATTCACCCAAAATCCGTTTTTCCTGTATAATCTATACAAAATCTGACAATTTTTCACAACCTGAAGCTTGAAAAAAATTTTGTTACCCATACTTTTTATTATATTTTTGACAATGGCATGACTACATTTTGGCAAACATTAAAAAATTCTATCATTTTTAAATAAGATCCCCGTTTAAGTACAAAATTTAAAAACTTTTTTTACATTCGTTTTTTTTCACCTGCTTTTAAAAAAAAAAACAAAAAAAAAACATGTATAAATGATATAGTTAAAATATATCAACCTAGAAAATATGTATTTAAGTGAAACATAAAATTTCACTTTTTATCATTGGTTAAGTAAAATTCATTAACATTTATTTTGTTTTATAAGTATTGATTTACATCCAGTCAGTATTATGATTATTATAGTGAAAATAGCAGTCATTGGTATGACACACATAAATATGACTAAAAATTCTATAATATTAACAAAATAACAACATACAAATTAATTTTTTTTAGAAGAGCTGACTGCTCATCTGCAAATTTTTTTTTAAAATTTAGGCAATTTACTAATAGTATATTTGATTTGCTATTCAGCAAATTAGTACAATTTAAGCTTTTTGTAGGTTGAGAGAAGCATGGCAGAAAGCATTGCAGACAGATGGTAGATCATTACCAGAAATAGATGATTATCTTGCTGGACAGACTAGATATCTGGAGTTGTCTAGATATTTCAGGTTAGGAATGGAAAATAATATGAATTATTGGCTTATCTGGCTTGAATGGCCATATGAGCTATTGCAATTACTTTCAATTTATAAATCTTAAACAAATTCTCCTCAGAAACTACTGTGCTAAATAGAACCAAACTCTGCAGGAATGTTCTTTTGGTAATTTCTTGATTTGTGTAACAATCTTACATTCAAGATGGCCTCCAGAGTCAACGGTTCTAAATTATAGAGGACTTGTTGTAAGAGATCACTAAGTTGTTCCAATTTTTAGCTCACCTGGCCCAAAAGGGCCAAGTGAGTTTTTCTCATCACTTGGCGTCCGTCATCAGTCGTCGTCGTCCGTTAACTTTTACAAAAATCTTCTCCTCTGAAAATACAGGGCCAAATAAAACTAAATCATTCTTAGGGTATCTAGTTTAAAAAATATATCCGATGACCCCGCCCATCAACCAAGATGGCCGCCATGGCTAAAAATAGAACATGGGGGTAAAATGCAGTTTTTGGTTTATATCTCTGAAACTAAAGCATTTAGAGCGAATCTGACATGGTGTAAAAATGTTCATCAGGTCAAGATCTATCTGTCTTGAAAATTTTAGACGCATCAGACAACCCCTTGTTGGGTTGCTGCCCCTGAATTGGTAATTTTACAGAAATTTTGCAGTTTTTTGTCGCAGAAAGCTCGACATAGGGATAGTGATCCGGCGGCGGGGTTAGCTAACTTCTTAAAAGCTTTATATTTTAGAAGGTGGAAGACCTGGATGCTTCATACTTTGTATATAGATGCCTTATGTTACGAAGTTTCCATCTGTCACATGTCCATTGTCCTTGACCTCATTTGCATGGTTCAGTGACTACTTGAAAAAAAAGTTCAGATTTTTTGTAATGTTAATTTCTCTCTTATAATGAGTAATAGGATAACTATATTTGGTATGTGCGTACCTTGCAAGGTCCTCATGCCCGTCAGACAGTTTTCACTTGACCTCGACCTCGTTTCATGGATCAATGAACAAGGTTAAGTTTTGGTGGTCAAGTCCATATCTCAGATACTAGAAGAATAGGTCTAGCATATTCGGTGTATGGAAGGACTGTAAGGTGTACATGTCCAACTGGCAGGTGTCATCTGACCTTGACCTCATTTTCATGGTTCAGTGGTTAAAGTTAAGTTTTTGTGTTTTGGTCTGTTTTTCTTATACTGTATGCAATAGGTCTACTATATTTGGTGTATGGAATGATTGTAAGGTGTACATGTCTAGCTGGCATGTGTCTTCTGACCTTGACCTCATTTTCATGGTTCAGTGGTCAAAGTTAAGTTTTTGAGTTTTGGTCTTTTTTTCTAATACTATATGCAATAGGTCATCTATATTCTGTGTATGGAAATATTTTATGATGTACATGTCAGTCTTGCAGGTTTTTGTCGAGCCTTCGACTTTAGTCGAAAAAGCGAGACATAGCGATCCTACATTCCGTCGTCGTTGTCGTCGGCGGCGTCCACAAATATTCACTCTGTGGTTAAAGTTTTTGAAATTTTAATAACTTTCTTAAACTATCCTGGATTTCTACCAAACTTGGACAGAAGCTTGTTTATGATCATAAGATAGTATCCAGAAGTAAATTTTGTAAAAAAAAAAATCCATTTTTTCCTTATTTTACTTTTAAATTGACTTAGATTTTCTGCCAGGAAACAACACATTCACTCTGTGGTTAAAGTTTTTAAAATTTTAATAACTTTCTGATACTATTTTGGATTGGTACCAAACTTGGACAGAAGCTTGTTTATGATCAAAAGATAGTATCTAGAAGGAAATTTTGTAAAAAAATAAATCCATTTTTTTCGTATTTTACTTTTAAATGGACTTAGTTTTTCTGCCGGGAAATATTGCATTCACTCTGTGGTTAAAGTTTTTAAAATTGTAATAACTTTCTTAAACTATCCTGGGTTTCTACCAAACTTGGACAGAAGCTTGTTTATGATCATAAGATAGTATCCAGAAGTAAATTTTGTAAAAAAAAAAATCCATTTTTTTCCTTATTTTACTTTTAAATTGACTTAGATTTTCTGCCAGGAAACAACACATTCACTCTGTGGTTAAAGTTTTTAAAATTTTAATAACTTTCTGATACTATTTTGGATTTGTACCAAACTTGGACAGAAGCTTGTTTATGATCAAAAGCTAGTATCTAGAAGGAAATTTTGTAAAAAAATAAATCCATTTTTTTCGTATTTTACTTTTAAATGGACTTAGATTTTCTGCCAGGAAACAACACATTCACTCTGTGGTTAAAGTTTTTAAAATTTTAATAACTTTCTTATACTATTTTGGATTTGTACCAAACTTGGACAGAAGCTTGTTTATGATCAAATGCTAGTATCTAGAAGGAAATTTTGTTTTCTTCCAGTTAACATTACATTCAGTCTGCAGTTAAAGTTTTTAAACATTTATTAGACTCATAAACTATCCTGGATTTTTACCAAACTTGGACAGAAGCTTCTTACAATCAAAAGATAGTATCAAGAGGAATATTTTTATTGATTTACTTCCTCATTTTTGTTGAGCCTGCGATTAACAGAAAAAGTAGGCGAGACACTGGGTTCCACGGAACCCTTACGAATTTTATTTGACCTTGACCTCATTTTCACGGTTCATTGCTCAGTGTTAAGTTTTTGTGTTTTGGTCTGTTTTTCTAATACTATAAGCAATAGGTCAACTATATTTGTTGTATAGAAGGATTGCAAGCTGTACATGTCTGCCTGGCATGGTTCATCTGACCTTGACCTCATTTTCATGGTGCATTGGTCAATGTTTAGTTTTCTTGGTTAAGTCTGTATCTTAGAAACTATAAACAATAGGTCAACTATATTTAGTGTATTGAATGATTGTAAGGTGAATATGTATTTCTTGTTTGGTTTATATGACCTTGACCTCATTTTCTTTGGGTCATGTCAAGTGTATGTGATAGTTGTAGTAAATCATCTTTAGGGTATCTAGTTTAAAAAAAATTTTGTGGTCGTATATTGGTATCATGTCGTCGTCGTCATCCGATGACAGTTTGTCTGGATCGTCGTCGTCCGAAAAACAGTTTGTTTCCGGACAATAACTTTAGTATAAGTAAATAGATATCTATGAAATTTAAACACAAGGTTTATAACCACAAAAGGAAGATCGGGAATGATTTTGGGGATTATGGTCCCAACAGTTTAGGAATTAGGGGCAAAAAAAGGGGCCCAAATAAGCATTTTTGTAGTTTTCAGACAATAACTTGTGTTTAAGTGTATGAATCTCTCTGAAATTATACCACAAGTTTCCATACCACAAAGGGATGGTTAGGATTGACATTGGGGGGTTATGGCTCAAACCATTTAGGAATTAGGGGCAAAAAAAGGGGAAAAACAAGGGTTTCCTGGTTAATTGACGATTTTAAAGCAGTGTAAGGAAGGTAAACCGATCACATTTAATATACAATGTTATGTATGTTTTGGATTACCTCCCTTACACTGCTTGTAAATTATGTATAAGAAATGCTGTATTGTCTTGAGGTGATTAGCTGTCAATTTATTTTTAAATGTTACAGTAATTAATATTAATTTTTTGCCGTGAATATGTATGTCATTTTCTATTTTAAGACTTTTATGATGTATTTTAATGGGTAATTATGGTTGTAAACTCCATTAAAAATTTGAATTGAGATTATGACCTCCTTATCTTGAGGGAAAGAATTTTTTGGAAAAAGGGAAAGGGGGGAATTGATTGGGGGGGGGGGGGAATAATTTTTTCTCATTTCAGATTTCAGAAATTAAAAAGAAAATTTCTTTAAATATTATTTTTTTTTGCAAAAAAAAGATAGGAGGGGAGGGGGGGGGGGTCAATACGCAACAGCATAGTGTATTGCACAAAAGCATAAATTGAATATAAATTCAAATCATATTACCAATTCTAAGTTCTTTGACTACAGTTATTCTGTGTCAGAAACCTATTTTGTGTCAGATATTTAATTACAATCCAAATTCAGACCTGTATCAAGCGCGAATATTGTGTCCATTTTTGCCCCAACTGTTCAAGGTTGGACCTCTGCGGTCGTATCCAGCTGCGCTCAGCGAAGCAATTTATTGGCTTATATCTCAATACCATAGCATTTAGAGCAAATCTGATCAGAAGTAAAAGTGTTAAAAGGTTAAGTTATACCTGCCTTGAAATTTTGAGATGAATCATATTGGGGTAATATTTCCCCTGAATTGACAATTTTAAGGAAATTTGGCAGGTTTTTGGTTATTATCATGATTATCTTGAATATTGTTTAAGATAAAGGTAAACTGTGAACAGCTTAAATCTTCAGCAAAGTAATATCCACAAATAAGTCAAAAGACCAAAATTGTCATTAGACCCATTAAGGAGTTATTGCCCTTTTAAATAAATTTTAAACAATTTGTTTATCATGTTTGATAATTTTCATAAATCTTCTCCTCTGAAAATAATGATCAAAGTTAGTCAAACATAGGCAGGTAATGGTCAAAAATGCACAGCTGGTCAAGATTTGTCAAGATTTGTTTGGGCGGTAATATTTAGACAAAACAGACACCCAGTACATGGGCTTATTGCTTTTGAATTTTTATATGCTTTTTACTGTTTTTTGTAATCTTGATTATAGATATGTAGATATATAGCAGCAATTTGTTCAGCAAACTAATATCCACAAATAACTGAATATATATATATATATATATATATATATATATAGATAAAGATAAACTGTAAACAGTAAAAATGTTCAGAAAAGTAAGATCTACAAATAAGTCAAATTGTCAATTGACCCCTTAAGGAGTTTTTGGTAATTTTACATAATTTGTTCATCATGTTTGTTACTTTCAAAAATCTTCTCTGAAACTATTGAAGCAAATTCAGCCAAACTTGGGCTGAATGAACCTTAGGGTAACTAGGATGCATTTTATGTTTTATTTTCTTGAACGTCAAGAAACATGGCCACTGTGGCTTAAATAGAACATAGGGGTAAAATGCAGTTTTGATAAAATATAAAAAAAATTTTTTGCTGTTTTTGGTTATTTATCTTGAATATTATTATAAATAGGGAGACACTGTAAACAGTAAAAATGTCAAAAGCACCAGGAATACAAGAAACCTATACAAACTTTATATCTTGTGAATACAAACCCTCTGAACTTAATTATTAAAATGTCACACCTATGATACAAGAGAACCATGATGTTTTCAATCTGCTCTGTCCATCTGTCGAACAGTCATAACAGTGTGAAACAGATTAACATTTTTTTGTCAATGTAGTTAATGATGATTAGTTATATATTGTCTCTCTTTAACTTAAAACTTGTACATCATGTACATGTATTCAAATGATTTGATCTTTCTTATTCCTGACTTGCAGACTGCTAGCTTTGTCCAAGTTATCTCCCTGGTCAGTCGGTGTACACTTGAAATAAGCAGAATTTTTTTACCTAACAAAACCATAAATTAGAGTATTCCGAAGGAAATCGTAAAACGCCCCACCTTTTGGCTTCATTTGTACATTTGGCACCTGTATGAAATTATTCAAAGTTTTATTTATAAAATATTTGGAAATTGTTTAAATCTTCTGTTGACGCATAAATCTTACAACAGTTACAAAGAAATTCCACCTTGTTGCTTGGATCACTCGATCTTTATCTGTAGGCAGTGGAGGAAAGTCATGATGTCTTTGATTGTCACACCTACTGAAAAGGGAAATAACTCTTGATTAAATTATCTAAACTATGGATGCATCCCATTCGCTGAAAAGAATGAATTGGTAAGCCTAATAAAACTTTTTACCCAAATTTCATAGTTGACTAAGCATAAAATGTGATATTTTGAACACAGTACATTCCCAGGTTAAAAGTTTATGGTCATGTACATCAAAGTTTATCATGAAACAATATGTTTGGCATAGTACCAGTTTTGACTTATTATAATAAACAAAGAATGGAAACTGGGAAACAAAGAGACAACAACTTGAAAATAAAACAGAAAATACCTTAAGGCCACCAAAGGACCTTCAACACAATCCATAATCAAACACGCAGAAGCAGGCTTGATCAGGGGCTTATGGTATTCATTAATGTATACTAGTACAAAAAAAATTGACGTCACTACACTTCAAAACAGATATGAACCAAGAAAAAAAAAAACATACAAGACTAACAAAAGCTACCTAGATGTTCCTGAATTAGGACATGCACAAAAATTCAGCAAGTTATACATGTTTTGTGAGATATAAACCTATCACCAACAAATTTTGTACCTCTAGCTAATGTGGAATAAAAAAACACACTGATACATACAGGAAGTCTATTGAAAAAACGTAAATGTTTGTTCTTATTTTGTGCTGTAACACGACAGTCCCATGTTAAAGACAGGGTTTGGATACAGTACATAAATTTTATCCCTCCTTGCACAACTCATAAACCAATAATTTTAGTCGTCGCCATTTGTTGCTGTGTTTCATATTTGCTTTTCGTTTATTGTTTTTAGCTCACCTTTCCTAATTGCCATCCAATACTCTCAGAATGCTGGATACTATCCACACTGGTTTGTGTCCACACTTATTAATTATACATTAAAAACTTATAAGCAAAAGAAAAACTTAGATGAAAATTTTAAAATAAAAAACTACAGGTGAGCTAATCAGGCTCTTGAGAGCCTCTTGTTTATTCAACTCTATTATTTATTTAACTGTTAGAAATAGAAATATATAGATATAGCTTAATATATTTTAGATTGCCATTTTCTGTAACAGACTATGGTATTCAATTAGAATTTGACTTAGTGTATGATCCTGCCAGTCCTGTGATTGAGTCTGCTGTTGTTAGATTAAACTATTATAAAGATGAGAAATACAATTTACTGGAAATGACAATAGATATTCAAGGTGAGAATTACATTGATCATTAGATATGTCTCTTCAAGGTATAAAAGTGTTATCCAAAAAATTTCACAACTGTTTTATAAATCTCCAAAATTTTGCTGTGGCAAGATGAGGAGTTATGTTAATATATATTAAGGTATGATTGATGCATAAAAGTGTTATCCTAAACATTTTCATCCCCTGAAAAGCTGTATTGAACAAATATACATTATTTCTGTTGTCTTTGGTTGTCTTCTTGTGTTGTCATCAATTTCACACTTTGTAATCAACAACTCCTTGCAAATGGCTTGACAGAAATAAACCAAACTTATAACACATATGTTTCTAGGACAAGAAGTTGTGCATCTGCTAACTTTGATTTTTAAAGTCAGTCACAGGATGTCTGTGCTTGTGTTCAGAATTTCAAACTATCAATTGTGGTATTGATGGTCTGAAATTTGTGGCTGAAGTTGATAAATTGAAAATTACATTACAATTATTTTTGATTTTTCTGATATATGATGAAATTGACTGATTTCATTTGATTTGTTTTAAAGATAATAGGCAATGGAATTAATTTTGCAAGAAATAGCCTGTTACATTTTTTTTTTAAATTTGTACAAACATCTCAATATGTTCTGCACTTGCAATTTATTGATAGAGAATTAAAAAAAGTGAATAGTGAAGATTAAATTTATATGTATAAAAACATATATGTATGAAGTCAGCTGTCTTGAGGTCAAAATAAAAATGTGGAAACAATGTACAACTCTAATGATATATCAGACACAAGATTAGAAATAAATGCAAAACAATTCCCCAAATCTCTTGATAAGTCATGTAAAAGGATTTTTTTTCCATGGTAAAGAGTTGACTAAAATATATTTCCTATTTTTTTAAATTTCTTTTCAGGTTTAGAATCTCTTCTTGATGCAGTATTTGAGAGTAAAGGAAAAGGTTTATTTTCATTGCTTTCTTTTCTTGCTGAAGCCAAGAAAAGTTTGGAAAAGGGAGTTAATCCACAATTTGCTGTATTTGACAAACCACTTTCAGAAGCTTTGAACAAAATCATTAAATTAGTTAACCACCCACAATATGTCATGCCAGATGGTATCCTTACATGGAAATTATACGGTAAGCATAGAAATATTATTCAAGACTAATGTGCTTTAAACTATAATTATATTTCAATTCTAAATAGCAATTTTCATTTATGATACTTTCAAAATAATGACACTTTTTTTGTATGATCAGCAAACAAAGAGAAATAAAATGCTTCAAACTCAAATTACTTTTCTGAAACTTTGAACAAATAGATGATTTTAATCTGCCAAAAGAGGTCGTCCTAGCTGTTTATAATTTTATTTGTTTTTTTAGCTGGCCCCATGTGAGCTTATGCCATCACTTGGCGTCCGTCGTCGTCTGTCGTCGTAAACTATTTCAAAAATCTTCTCCTCTGAAACTACTGGGCCAAATACATTCAAACTTTAACTAAATGTTCCTTAGGGTATCTAGTTTATAAATTGTATCCGCAGTTTTGATCCATTGACAAACATGGCCGCCATGGCTAAAAATAGAACATAGGGGTCAAATGCAGTTTTTATACGACCGCAAAAATTGAAAATTTTTTGGTCGTATATTGGTATGACGTTGGCGTCGTCGTCGTCGTCGTCGTCGTCGTCGTCGTCGTCGTCATCGTCGTCGTCGTCGTCGTCGTCGTCGTCGTCGTCGTCGTCGTCGTCGTCTGGCGTCGTCCGGCGTCGTCCGAAGACACATTGGTTTTCGCACTCTAACTTTAGTTTAAGTGAATGGATCTCCATGAAATTTTACCATAAGGTTCAATACCACGAAAGGAAGGTGGGGATTGATTTTGGGGGTTATGGTACCAACAGTTAAGGAATTAGGGGCCAAAAAGGGGCCAAAAATAAGCATTTTTGTAACTTCCAGACAATAACTTGTGTGTAAGTGTATGGATCTCTCTGACATTGTACCACAAGGTTCCATATCACAAAGGGAAGGCTGTAATTGATTTTGGGGGTAATTGCCTCAAAATTTTAGGAATTAGGGGCAAAAAAAGGGGCAAAAAAACAAGCATTTTTCTAGTTTCATGACAATAACTTGTGTGTAAGTGTTTGGATATTTCTGAAATTGTACTACAAGGTTCCATATCACAAAGGGAAAGCTGGAATTGAGTTTGGGGGTAATTGCCCGAAACGTTTAGGAATTGGGGGCCAAAAAGGGGCCAAAAATAAGCATTTTTCTAGTTTCCAGACAATAACTTGTGTTCAAGTGTATGGATCTCTCTGAAATTGTACTGCAAGGTACCATACCACAAAGGGAAGGCTGGGATTGAGTTTGGGGGTGATGAATCATAAGGGGGTTCAAAAAATTTGGGGGGGGAATTTTTTTTTTTCTTTTTTTATCTTTTTTTCCTTTTTTTTTCTTTTAAAATTTTCCATTTTAAGTTGGTTATTTCTGATTAATATTTAAAAGCAAATAATAATGATATGGTAGGAGATACACACCAAACAGGATGTGTAAATTATTATATAATAAGTATTGTGCAATAGCAAGAAATTTTCAATTGCACAGTATTGCACAATTGCAAGAAATCTTCAATTGCACAGTATTGCGCAATAGCAAGAAATCTTCAATTGCACAGTATTGCGCAATAGCAAGAAATATCCAATAGCACAATATTGCGCAATAGCAAGAAATTGTCAATTGTACAGTATTGCACAATAGCAAGAAATATTCAATTGCACAGTATTGTGCAAAAGAAGATACTTCATATAAATTGCTTATTTCTTGATCAATTTCAATGGGGTTTTATTCTTGAATTCTTGGGGTTCTTTAATATGCTGAATCTAACCGTGTATTTAGATTCTTAATTTTTGGTTCCGTTTTCAAATTGGTCTACATTAAGGTCAAAAGGGTCCAAAATTAAACTTAGTTTGATTTTAACAAAAATTGAATTTTTAGGGTACTTTGATATGCTTAATCTAAACATGTATTTAGATTTTTGATTATGAGCCCAGTTTTCAAGTTGGTCCAAATCGGGGTCCAAAATTAAACTTTGTTTGATTTCAACAAAAATTGAATATATGGGGTTCTTTGATATGCTGAATCTAACCATGTATTTAGATTTTTGATTTTTGGGCCCCGTTATCAACTTTGTCCACATTGAGGTCAAAAGGGTCCAAAATTAAACTTTGTTTGATTTCATCAAAAATTGAATTCTTGGGGTTCTTTGATATGCTGAATCTAACCATGTATTTAGATTTTTTATTTGTGGACCCGCTATCAAACTGGTTCATATTGAGGTCAAAAGGGTCCAAAATTAAACTTTGTTTGATTTCATCAAAAATTGAATTATTGGGGTTCTTTGATATGCCAAATCTAACCGTGTATTTAGATTGTTAATTTTGGGTCCCGTTTTTAAATTGGTCTACATTAAGGTCCAAAGGGTCCAAAATTAAACTTAGTTTGATTTTAACAAAAATTGAATTCTTGGGGTTCTTTGATATGCTGAATCTAAACATGTGTTTTGATTTTTTATTATGGGCCCAGTTTTCAAGTTGGTTCAAGTTGGGGTCCAAAATTAAACTTTGTTTGATTTCAACAAAAATTGAATATATGGGGTTCTTTGATATGCTGAATCTAAACATGTATTTAGATTTTAGATTTTTGGCCCAGTTTTCAAGTTGGTCGAAATTGGGGTCCAAAATTAAACTTTGTTTGATTTCAACAAAAATTGAATATATGGGGTTCTTTGATATGCTGAATCTTACCATGTATTTAGATTTTTTATTTGTGGGCCCGCTATCAAATTGGTTCATATTGAGGTCAAAAGGGTCCAAAATTAAACTTTGTTTGATTTCATCAAAAATTTAATTATTGGGGTTCTTTGATATGCCAAATCTAACCGTGTATTTAGATTTTTAATTTTGGGTCCCGTTTTTTTAAATTGGTCTACATTAAGGTCCAAAGGGTCCAAAATTAAACTTAGTTTGATTTTAACAAAAATTGAATTTTTGGGGTTCTTTGATATGCTGAATCTAAACATGTGTTTAGATTTTTTATTATGGGACCAGTTTTCAAGTTGGTCCAAGTTGGGGTCCAAAATTAAACTTTGTTTGATTTCAACAAAAATTGAATATATGGGGTTCTTTGATATGCTGAATCTAAACATGTATTTAGATTTTAGATTTTTGGCCCAGTTTTCAAGTTGGTCCAAATTGGGGTCCAAAATTAAACTTTGTTTGATTTCAACAAAAATTGAATATATGGGGTTCTTTGATATGCTGAATCTTACCATGTATTTAGATTTTTTATTTTGTGGGCCCACTATCAAATTGGTTCATATTGAGGTCAAAAGGGTCCAAAATTAAACTTTGTTTGATTTCATCAAAAATTGAATTATTGGGGTTCTTTGATATGCCAAATCTAACCGTGTTTTTAGATTTTTAATTTTGGGTCCCGTTTTTTAAATTGGTCTACATTAAGGTCCAAAGGGTCCAAAATTAAACTTAGTTTGATTTTAACAAAAATTGAATTCTTGGGGTACTTTGATATGCTGAATCTAAACATGTGTTTAGATTTTTGATTATGGGACCAGTTTTCAAGTTTGTTCAAGTTGGGGTCCAAAATTAAACTTTGTTTGATTTCAACAAAAATTGAATATATGGGGTTCTTTGATATGCTGAATCTAACCATGTATTTTGATTTTGGACATTGGACCATAATAGGTAAATTAAAAAAATTGAAGTTCTTAGACCACATTCTTTCTGTGTCAGAACCTATGCTGTGTCAAATATTTAATCACAATCCAAATTCAGAGCTGTATCAAGCTTGAATGTTGTGTCCATACTTGCCCCAACTGTTCAGGGTTCGACCTCTGCGGTCGTATCAAGCTGCGCCCAGCGAAGCATTTTATTGGCTTATATCTCAAAAACTAAAGCTTTTAGAGCAAATCTGACATGGGGTAAAATTGTTCAATTGGTCAAGATCTATCAGCTCTGAAATTTTCAGACGAATCAAACAACCCATTGTTGGGTTGCTGCCACCGAATTGGTAGTTTTAACAAAATTTTGCAGTTTTTTGTTATTATTTTGAATATTATTATAGATATATATAAACTGTAAGCAGCAATAATGTTCAGCAAAGTAAGATCTACAAAAAAGTTAATATGACCAAAATTGTCAATTGACCCCTTAAGGAGTTATTGCCCTTTAAAGACAATTTTACACAATTTGTTCATCAATTAGATATAAGAAGATGTGGTATGAGTGCCAATGAGACAACTCTCCATCCAAGTCAAAATTTATAAAAGTAAACCATTATAGGTCACAGTACGGTCTTCAACACGGAGCCTTGGCTCACACCGAACAGTAAGCTATAAAGGGCCCCAAAAAAATTACTAGTGTAAAACCATTCAAATAGGAAAACCAATGGTCTAATCTATATAAAAAACGAGAAACGAGAAACACTTATGAACCACATCAACAAACGACAACTACTGAACATCAGATTCCTGACTTAGGACAGGTGCAAACAAATGCAGCGGGTTTAAACGTTTTAATGGTACCAAACCTTCACCCTTTTTCTGAAACAATAGTGTAACATCACAACATAGAAAGACACACTATAAAATATCAACTGAAATAGCTTAACTCAATCAAAAGACATATTAACACCATTGAACATAAACTGAACAAATAAATTTGACCTATGACACAATGTAAATACAAAATAAATAAACTAAGGGAAGAATAATAAAAGTGACATATTATATCGGTAAGAAATGTTAAACAATTAAAGAAAAACAATATGCTCGAACAAAAATACCATCCATTTGCAATAACTTTAAACACAGGTAAATGAAAATAATTTTGTTGTTAGGTATACGTGTACAGTACCAATAGAGAAAGGAAATATTTTTACAAAATAAATAATTTAGAATACAAAATAAATAAACTAAGGGAAGAATAATAAAAGTAACATGTTATATAGGTAAGAAATGTAAAACAATAAAAGAAAAACAATATGCTCGAACAAAAATACCATCCATTTGCAATAACTTTAAACACAGGTAAATGAAAATAATTTTGTTGTTAGGTATACGTGTACAGTACCAATAGAGAAAGGAAATACTTTTACAAAATAAATAATTTTGATGTTCATAGTACGAAGTAAAAATTTATAGTTATACCAAACACTTATCAAGGCTGGTATATAGACCAGATATAACCCTGAATAACATTAAATAACAAAAAAGCAATACAATTAGTATCAACAGGTCAAATAAACAAGAAAGTACGATTTGAGAGTACTCGCAGTTACTGACAGCTAGTTAAAAGCCAAAACAATTAATAATAAAAAATCATGCATCAGAGACTAAAATCAACTAAAACACATCCCAGGGATTTAGTATTTTAACGTCATGGACAGTCAAAGAAGACATGACTAGTGCAATGCCAAAAATAAATGTATCGACAGACAGTAGGATAGTTAGGAGTTTAACCTCTTTATAGATCTAAACCAACGTGGGTGTGTCTTTATACATCCCACTTGAAAAAAATACAAATTTAGTTATGTTTTAATTTGCTGATGACAAAATCGATATTAGTGCCAATGTAAACTATATTCAAAGATCTAATTACAACATTGGTAAGATAACCTTTACTAATGAGCCTGTTTAAAGGTTCGATGAGTTTACACAGTTAAGTACAACAAGTACATCAAGTTTGCTAACATTAAAAAATCTTCTCCTCTAAAACTACTGGGCCAATTACCTTCAAACTTTAACTAAATGTTCCTTAGGGTATCTTGTTTATAAATTGTATCCAAAGTTTGTATCCATCTACAAACATGGCCGCCATGGATAAAAATAGAACATAAGGGTCTAATGCAGCAATAATGTTCAGCAAAGTAAGATCTACAAAAAAGTTAATATGACCAAAATTGTCAATTGACCCCTTAAGGAGTTATTGCCCTTTAAAGACAATTTTACACAATTTGTTTATCAAGTTTACTAACATTTAAAAATCTTCTCCTCTGAAATACAGGTGAGCGATTCAGGCTCTTGAGAGCCTCTGGTTTAAAAATCTTTATATGTAATAAACCAATTAATGAGGAAATTTTCTTTTTTTAAAAGGTTATGAAGTTATGTATGTAGATATTGGTGACATTCTTTCAATGTTGATTGGAAGTCCTTCTCAGCATCCATCATCTCCACAGCAGCGTCAGCACTCACAACAACAACAACAGAATCATCAGAAACACAGACAACCAAGTGGATTCATAGCTAAAGTAATGATGATGTTAGCTAGAGGATACAGACTTATTAAAACAAGGTAGTTATTTAATGTTGCCTGTACAGATCAAGGAAAGTTACGACATAAATAAGCGAGTTCTTATATTCCTATCTGGAGTCAGGTAGTCTTGTTAGTGGTTGTTTGAAGTCTGCAAGATCATTATTTTTTGTTTGTTTTTTTATTAAATGTTGGTATCAGACCTCTGTTCATGCACAATTAATCTACTGTGTGTGCCTTTGTCCTCAAAAAGTGTCCATATACCAGGGTTTAACTGACCTTTACTTTATTTTATTGGGAACCACTAATGGGAAGTCAATGATATCGCATCTGATTTCCATGGAGATTATAACTTGATATCCATTAAAATAACAATATTTTTCATATACTTAGCATTAATATGATAGTTTTTGCATATGTGCAACGGGTGGAAGTAAATTAGCCATAAATTCACACTCAGGCTGATAACCCACATCAGGGCCTCTTGTGCAAATAACCTGTTACAGTGCCTCGCGCGCAAGTTACTTCCGGTATTTCCGGTGTTGTCTGTTTAAATAAAAAAAAAATTTTTGTGGAATCTTCATGATACATGTATTTTCAATGCAACTAGGAAAGTTTTCAATCCCTTTTTTAGTGTACAAACATTAAAACAAGCACATCTATTATTAAACATGTCATCCCAATATGTGCTACACTATTATTTACTGACTTTTAAACATCAAATTTTGAAATGAATAAATGGTTAAAATCTATATGTGTAATTTATTTATTGACCTTAAGCTTTTTCTCTTTACATCTCTTTGTGTTTTACAAAAGTTATGAGTCTGACAAAATTAGATGCAGACTAAATTATATATTGTAAGTAAGTTATTTGTCAATATATTTCTTTGCATTTTTAAGATCTGCCAAAGTACTTGATCTGACAAAAATCATACCTACCATATCAGGTGCATCATTGAATATGACAGTTTTACTGACAGCTTCATTGGGATTGGATGTTACTGCTAAAGCTGATGTTAGTCAGTATGTGAGGGGAACTGGGCCTGTCCAAGGTACTGGTGAACTATCTATTGGGTAAGTAGTATGATAATGATTAAAAAAGGTCTATCACTCGGCGGGGGGCACCAGTTATGTAATGTATGGAAAAGATGAGCGGCTGAAATAGGTAACTTTTTTGAGCTTCAAGGTATATGACAAGGTCTAGAAATTAAGATGAAATATATGACAAGGTTGCTGATTGAATCATAAATAACTGAAACTAATCAGATGTTGATTTCACAGAATCCATTAAAACTAGTCATAAATGCATCAGATATTTGATAAATATATTAAGCTGTCCATGAAAAAGAGTACACATTATAGCAATAGGTATATTTTTTGTCAAAAATATATGGTAGGGTATGTATTTACATTATTCAAAATAAATGAAAAGGTTTGGATACTCAACGTCTCAGCTGCACACCCTTACCACAAAAAGGTCGAAGCCCCCCCCCCCCCCTCATTCCATAGGTATTGGGCCCTTACTGTCATATTAAACCACTAATTTGATGGCTCTCAAGTAGGCTACCCCTTAGGTCACAAGGTCATTTCAGTGGTGAAGTTTCTGCTGCCAAAAGTTTTTAAGCAATAACTTATGAACTGTTCAACCAATGCTTTTCAAATTTTGATATGTTGTTACTGATGACAAAATAGAGGTCAAGTTCAATGTTGACAATTTTCACTTTTTACCATTCAGGACATATGCTCATTGATAGATTGGAAAATAGACACAGAAAGTGGCATGTCAAACAAGCCTGAAAGGGCAAGACATTAGAATACATCAATTTCATTTGTACCTGCTGCCCTCTAAATAAGGTTATAAAATTTTGCTTTCAATTACATAAAATGTGGTTTTGCTGTCAATTCGACAGCTCATTTCTAGTTTATATTTTGCCACCTCCAAAAAGCAAAGATTTCACTGGCGGTTTTAGATTTATGCAATCAGACCTTAAAGCCGAGGCTTCCAACTCCATTAGATTTACTGGTCTTTGTCTAGTTTGAAACCATTTAAATACAGATTTTTTTTTTACGTATTCTGTGTAATTTTGTGCATTAATAAATACAAGCAAGCAGCTGATTTTTTCAGCTCACCTGGCCGAAGGGCCAAGTGAGCTTTTCTCATCACTATGCGTCCATCGTCTGTCGTTGTCGTCAGCGTTGTCGTCATCGTCCGTCGTCGTTAGCTTTTTACAAAAATCTTCTCCTCTGAAACCACTGGGCCAAATTTAACCAAACTTGGCCACAATCATCATTAGGGTATCTAGTTTATAAAATGTGTCCGATGACCCTGCCAACCAACCAAGATGGCCGCCATGGCTAAAAATAGAACATAGGGGTAAAATGTAGATTTTGGCTTATATCTCTGAAACCAAAGCATTTAGAGTAAATCTGACATAGGGTAAAACTAATTATCAGGTCAAGATCTATCTGCCCTGAAATTTTCAGACAAATCTGACAACCTGTTGTTGGGTTGCTGCCCCTGAATTGGTAATTTTAAGGAAATTTTGCAGTTTTTGGTTATTATCTTGAATATTATTATAGATAGAGATAAACTGTAAACAGCAATAATGTTCAGCAAAGTAAGATCTACAAATAAGTTGTCATGACCAAAATTGTCAGTCGACCCCTTTAGGAGTTATTGCCCTTAATAGTCAATTTTTAACAATTTTTTGTAAATTTTTGTAATCTTTTACAAAAATCTTCTTATCTGAAACTACTGAGAAAAATTTAACCATACTTGGCCATAATCATTATTAGGGTATCTAGTTTAAAAATTTTGTCCGATGACCCCGCCTTCCAACCATCATGGCCGACTTGGTTAAAAATAGAACATAGGGGTAAAATGCAGTTTTTGGTTTATATCTCTGAAACTAAAGCATTTAGAGCAAATCTGACAGGTGGCAAAAATGTTGATCAGTTTTAGATTTATCTGCCCTGAAAATTTTTAGACGAATCTGACAACCCGTTGTTGGGTTGCTGCCCCTGAGTTAGTAATTTTACAGAAATTTTGCAGTTTTTTGTTATTATCTTAGATATCATTATATCTAATATCTACCGTTATACTATTAATTATGATTTTAACCTTATTTTACATGATTTCCAAAGCATCAGTAAATACAGGTGAGCGACACCGGCTCTTGAGAGCCTCTAGTTTGCGGATGCAGTTTATTTTGAATAGCCTAAAAATTAACATATTATATCATAAATTGTATTTCCATTTTTTACAGTTTTGCTGGAGAATTTTTTGGTCAGATGATTGTGAAGTTAGGAGATACTATGCGAGCAGGATGTAGAATGTTGACATCTCTGAATGGAAAAGCTGAAATTGAAAACTCAGTAACCTGGAATAGAGGCAGTAAATCTGACACAACTTTAGCTAACTATACTGCAACTGTTACCAGAAAAAACATTGATGGAAATTATAATGCAATCCATGTCAAGTAAATGATATACATTTTTATATAATATATGAATAGTAGAGTACAAAATTGACTTTTTATTCTTTTATAGGACTATATTTCAGACTAGTGTCAAAACTGAGACAAAAGAAAAATATATTTTTACTTGTTTTTTGGTTTGCTACTCATATGTTAGAATTAGTTTCTGTCAAATTTTGTAATGGTAGTAGAAATGTTTGTTTCTGATGTGTTTCGTTATATTTGTCCTGTACATGTGTCCAGTGAAAATCTTTTCCAGCAAGAAATTTGAAAAAATCACCCATATTAATCCATATGTTTAAACTAAACCTCTTTTAAATAGACAGTTAAATAATTATTATGACTCATACAAGTCAAATACATATTTTAAAAAAATGTCTATATAACTTTTCTGATGCCCACATTACAACTGAAAATGATGAATTCTTGTTATTTTTTTCAACAGGAGTCGTCTTCATCATCTCCATGATGACTGGACAGAGATACCAGCAGATCCAAAAGTACAAACAACAGTGAAAAAATGTTCTGGTGCCCTGTTAATGTTGCTGTCAGGAAACAGAGTCTGTATGGAGTTTATCTATCCAGATGTCACAGATTCTACAACCCATCCATACTTCCCTTTGTCTGGACCATTTAATGTCGACATAGTAGTGTCAAGGGCTGATAAGTAGGTTATTTTTAATATTCACTATGGAGGTACAGATTTGGGTGTCTTAGGCTCTGTATATAAGGAATCAGAAATTTATGGGACTTTGAAATTTAAAATATATACTTATAAAAGTCATGTGTTTTCTTTTGTCCAGTTTACTATGACATCAGGATTGTGTGCTTACTCTGGCACTCCTGCATAAAACCTACTGAAATGGTTCAAAATTTGATGCCCTCAGTTAGGAGAACACCACATCAACTGCATGTTAAATAACACTCGAAACAGGTCTTTGAGGGGTCCGTAGATAATCAGCTGCAAGGGAAAGCTTATGCCAATGATCAACACTCCATCTTTTTTTAGTGGTCAAAAAATTAACACCCTCACCCCTTTTCATCCAAGTCCTTCAAATTTACAGGAGCAATATACTTCATCTATTGATTACTTTAATTGAAATTGTTCTAATCCTGAATTAACATGAAATCTGCTTTTATGCCTTGTCTTGGATAGTAGAGGACATTATGTTTTCTGCTCTGTGCATTTGTTTAATGTCTGTTGTATCAGTTTAAAGTTTGGATTTAATGTAGTCTACCATGTAGTTGTGATTACATCCACTTGTAACCTTATACATATGTTCATAATGAGGAGAACGTTTAAAAATTTATGTCAAATTAGGGTTTCAACCAATTTTTTGGAGTTAACAAAAATGTGATAGTAAAAGTATGTTGTTGTGTCCTATCGACACCTATTCTTGTTTTTTATGCCCCACAGTAGAGGAGGGGGCATTAAGTTTTACCCTTGTCCGTTTGTACGTCCGTCCGTACGTCTGAAATTAGTTTCCGTTCTCTAACTTTAGTTTGTCTCAACCAAATGTTATGAAACTTATACACAATGCTTATTACCACAATACACAGCCCAAGAATGAATTTTGGTGGTGTCACTTTTACTGTTCTAGAGTTATGCCCCTTTACAAGAGGAAAAATTGCTGAATTTTTCGTTTCTGTTCTCAAACTTGAGTTTACATCAACCAAATGTTATGAAACTTATACACAATGCTTATTACCACAAAACTCAGATTAATTTGGGTAGCGTCACTTTTACCTTCTTGAGTTATATCCCTTTATAAAGTTAAAATTGAGAATGGAAATGGGGAATGTGTCAAAGAGACAACAACCCGACCATAGAGCAGACAACAGCCGAAGGCCACCAATGGGTCTTCAATGTATGCATGCGGGGGCATTATCTGTGTCCCATGGACACATTCCCCATTTATTTGTTTTTGTTTTTGTTTTACTCATCTCTTATTGAAGTATTATATTTATCAAATCAATTCTTATGTTTTCATAAACTCTTTAAACTGATGTTTTGTTGATTCTCAGGGACATGAAAGAATTCCTTGTTGAAATGACATATTTGATAACTAATGGTACCACAGGACCAAGAAAAAATGTTTATATTACTTATTCAGCTCCAGGTATGTTACAGATATATCACAAATAGATGCTGTTCATTTAAAATCATACTTTAGATTCTACAGTTGTTTAAAAATTGTGTAAAAGATTTAGTGCTCTTACCTTTGATGAAAGCATGTGTTTTAAATCTTAATTAATGTAATCTTATTGGAAAGATATTCAGGAGTTCAAAGAGATCTCATACCTGCCTCTTATATAACAGTCATTCATGTTTTTAATTTCAAATCCATACAGAACAAAATTCAACATACAGTTTTACAAAGTTTAATTCTTTACAAATTATTTTATTGTACAACAGGCTACTTTTTTCAAGCTTCATGAGTTTCAAGTTTTATGCTTAGTGGCTCTGTTAACAGGAATAATAATGTTTAGTTGTCCACTAGGCTTATTTACAAATGAATAGTGGCAAATCATTCTTCTAAATCCTTTTTTAAACCAAAATGATCATAATGTTTTGACCAAGAAATGCATGTATTGATTGTAATGAAAAGAAAAAAATGAACCCATATATAAACTGGTTATTTTGGACTATGTATTCAAGCATTACAACTATTTGTTTTCACAAACATCCATACCTGCCAACCCTCCCGCTCAAATGGCGAAATTCAGGAAATCTCCAGCTTGCCGGTACCCTCCCGCGCGGGAGTATAGAATCTCCCCCTTTGGGATATTTTAATCTTGAATGACAAGTCAACAGTAATTACATTTTTGTCTCACTGATTAGGGTTGTAATTACCTGTAAATCACAGACCATGTGAAATTAAATGGCTTCACTTAACAGCTTGGGTGTCAAACATAGTACTAATTAACGATAATTAACGACTTTTGAAGCAAAACACTTCAAATAAATTTCGGGTTACTTCCCCTGTTTAATCCTGTTTTAAGTTACCCTTCTTAAAATAATGTGAATTGATAAAACAATATAAACTAAATTAAAAGATTTTGTATGCTTTAAGACAAAAAAAATAATTATATTTTAAAAATCACTTAAAAGATCTATACTTCTATTCAATGTTTATATTGAAATTAATAAGATAAGTATTGAACCAATTTTAGTCAAATAGATAAGTGCACACACAAAATTTACTTGTGACAATATGATGACTCTCTTATAACAGAAGTGTCTGGGGTGAAAGTTGTCTGGAAGTGATTCAAATGTCAAAGTTGATGAAATAGGAAAGAAACAAACAACACACCTTCTGTAGGATATAACCATATTTAAAGAAACAAAAGTATATCTATAAACTCTTATATGTGTTTCGTAGATAAATAAATAAACACGTCATATATTTCACTTGAAAATGTCGTTCGCGCAAAATCTCCCCCTCAGCTGTCATAGCTGAGGGGGAGATCTCCCTCTTTGAAGGTTTCAGAGGTTGGCAGGTATGAACATCTTTCTTCTATAAAAGACTATCCAGAAGTTAAGTTGTTTTATAAAGTAAAATATTAACAAATCGTTCTGTCTAGATAATACCTGAACCTAAACTGAACTTACTTGATCTGTTCTAGCATTGTATGCATGTCTACATTTGGTGGTTACCAACATAAAAAAATGTATTTGTCTTTTTTTAGGATCAAAACTGAAGAGACAAATCAATATTGACATAGAGCAAAGTTTGGTAGAGGATAGCACTATAGCTAAGTTAGATATGCCAGAGACAGGATTACATTTAGATTTTGTTACTAAAGATATAAAACAAATAGACACAGAGAAAAAGGACATTAAGTCCAATCAACTGGCTGACTTTCATCTACAAATAAAAGGTCTTACATTACTGAAAACAAAGTTGCAGGTATACTTCTATAGTTAAAAACATATCATATGGTGCTTCACATAGTCTGCCAATGTTCTGTATGTTTATTTACTTTATATTCAGTTGATAGGCAATTGTTTAATCAGTGGCGTTTTCATAATGATGTGGAAGAAGTACTTTCTTAAGTAAAATTTGACAATTACCAGTATGTTTTCAAAAAATTTCATTGTTTACAAAATTTGGTGTTCGAACTTCTGCCATTGACAATCTCTGAAATGAACTTTTGGATCCATCACTAACATTGAATGAGTCATTGTAGTGTGGAATGTAACTGAAAAGTACATATACTGATCTGACTACAAGAATTTTACCTTCCACCGATTCCAATCTAAAATGCCAGGTAATCTAATAACATCCCAAATACAATCGCACTTGATCTATGTTATCTTATATATTGTATTATCTTTTTTTTACTTATTTTATTTTCAATGTGATTGAAAAGCTTTTTTGTTAAAATCATGGCTATTTTTTATAACTAACTAACAGTTGTATTCAGATAAACGTTTTTGTAAAAGATAAATCAGAATAAACGTACATATTGCTGGTGCTTTCAACCTTTTAGGGACTTCACAAGATGACATGCAACTAGGCAATGTTCCTCGGTGACATTGTCAAGGGGATTCTGTGATGATATATCTGATATATATGTATTTATTTATCTAATTAAAGATTGACGAAACCATTACAGAGGAGGTAATATTTGATCCAAAACAAGGAAAGGATGCTAAAGGAAATAAAACTCAGATAGAGACATCATTTTTTTTCGCTGCACCTTACATTAGTTTAGATGTCCACTTTGAAAATCTAAGTGAGAAACTTTCCTCACACATTTTCACCGAATTCCATGTGAAGTATTATTGGTAGGTTGTTACAGCAGAAACTATTCATGTATAACCATTTTTACTTGCAGTTGGTAATATTTTCACTGGATTAGTAAACACAATCAATTCTGTGGCTAGTTCAGTTCGTATTTTTATTCTTTTCTTTCTCAGATGACTCTATGATATAGCTTTATTGGCTGAGGCGGAGTAAAGCAAACATCATTCAATCGATCAATTATTGAACAGGTGAAAGGTTGATTTAGAAGCATTAACCTTTGATTAACAAAATGTCTGATGAAGAATTTTGTTTAAGCAACTAATAAATTTTAAAGAATTTCTGAATTAGAAAATTGGTTAATACATTGATGGTTTTTGGTGTTAGTTTTTATTGTCTCGCCTGCGACGAAAGTGTGCCATACACAGTTACTATCCAGCAAAAACGGCAGGGGCGATGTAAACTATTTGTATTAAGCTTTATATTTCAGATGGTATGAGACCTAGATGCTTCATATAATGTATGTAGATACCTTATGTAACAAAGTTTTCATCTGTCATATGTTTATTGTCCTTGGCCTCATTTTATGATTCAGCGACTGCTGGAAAAAAAATTAAAAAAATTATAGTTTTTTTGTCATGTGAATTTCTCACTTATTATAAGTACATTGTAATAGGGTAACTATATTTGGTATATAAGTTCCTTGCAACTTTTACATGTCCGTCAGACAGGGTTCACCTGACCTTGACCTCATTTCATGGATCAGTGATATCAGTGATCAAGGTTAAAATTACATGATTAGGTCCGTTTTTCAGCTACTATAGGCAGTAGGTCAACTATATGTGGTTTATGGAATGATTGTAAGGGATACAGATAAATATAAGAATATGTGATATAATTGCCATTGAGACAACTCTCCACCAGAGACCAAGTGACATAGAAGTTAACAATTAAATGTCACTGTACAGCCTTCAACAATGAGCAAATCACATACCGCGTAGTCAGCTATAAAAGTTTCAGAAATACAAAAGTAAAACAATTCAAACGAGAAATCTAATGGCCTGATTTATGTACAAAACAATGAACGAAAAACAAATATGATATATAGCAACAAACTACAACCACTGAATTACAGACACCTGACTTGGGACAGGCACATACAGAATGTGGCAGGTTAAACTAGTTTGTTGGTGCCAAACCCTCCCCCTAACCTTGGATAGTGGTGTTACCCGAGAAAACATTGTCAACTGAGGCGAAGCCAAGGTTGAGGATGTCTTTTCGAGGGGTGACAATCTGCTCTATCACCCTCTCAGCTATGTGTTATTTAATTTATTATACTGAATGTTCTGTTATTACTGTCTATTAAATTCCAAATTCAAAATAATAAACTATGTCGTCTTGTACATAACAATCATCCGTATTTATTAAAGCACACACTTGAGCAAACGTCTCCGTGAAGGGTAATAGAGTACCAGTATTTGCCATGGGATAGAGTAAATTGTCTCCCTCGTATTAACCAATCAAAATCTGACATTTTGGCATGAAGTATAATAATACAACATAAGAACAAACTATAAAAATCAGTTGAAAAGGGCTTAACTCATCAGATCAATACAAAGCAGAAAGACATCTAACAAATACACACACCTGACGTGGCAGGGTATTTATACATCCCTACAACAAAAAAGACACTAAGTACAGATCTGAGAGTACGCACAGTTACTGACAGCTATTCAAAGCCAATAACAATTAATAAAAAAAATCATGTATCTAAGACTAAATGTCAGTCTGGCAGATTTCATCTGACCTTGACCTCATGTTCATGATTCATTGGTCAGTGTTATTTTTTTTATGTTTTGGTCTGTTTTTCAAGTACTATAAGCAATAGGTCAACTATATTTAGTGTATAGAATGTTTGTAAGGTGTAAATGTCTGTCTTACAGGTATCATCTGACCTTAACCTCATTTTCATGATTCGTTGGTCAATGTTAAGTTTTTGTGTTTTGGTCTATTTTTCAAATATTAATAGCAATAGGTCAGCTATATTTGGTGTATGTAAAATTGTTGTAAGGTGTACATGTCTGTCTGGCAGGTATCATCTGACCTTGACCTCATTTTCATGGTTCATTGGTCAATATTAAGTTTTTGTGTTTTAGTCTGGTTTTCATACCATAAGCAATAGGTCAACTATATTTGGTGTATAGAATAATTTTAAGGTGGACTTGTCTGTCTGACAGGATTTATCTGACCTTGACCTCATTGTCATGGATCTGTAAAAAAGTTAAGTTTATGTGATACTTGCAGTAAAACCTTTATCTTTAAGACTTTCAACATAAAAGCAATGGTCAGTAAAGCAGGTGAGACATTTCAGCATGTGCACTCTTGTTATTTATTGAATATTAAAATTTCTATGAAGATTTATAAGGGGTCTCATTGGGGGGTTCTGATCCTGGATCCCGCTTACTGTTTTGTCAGATTCCTGTATCCCACTTACACTATGTGCGTAAGCAATTCTCATTTTTTTGTAATTTCCAGTGTCCTGCTAGACTTCATTTCCCGTTTTCACGGCACAATAATTTGACTTTCACGTGTCACGCCTACAAAAAATCGGCAATCCCGTGTCGCACTTAAACCCCAATGAGACCCACTTTATAATAATGCATATTCCAAGCTGATTTACAATCTAAACATACCAATACAATTTTTTAATCATAGTTGGTAGCTGTTTAAGAGGTCTGAAAATTAAGAGTTCAATATTTTCGTCTCTATTTTTTTCTTCACCTTGACGGAGTCAAAAAGCGAGACATAGGTATGCTGTTTCCGGCGGCTGTGTCAACAATGTATTAGTTTGTGATTAGGTCTAGTTTATGGTGAACCACTAGTGGTAGGTCAATGATATTTGGTATGCAGTTTTATTAGCATTGGCACATCTCATTTCCATGGACCTGTACCTTTAAAATCATTACGATGTTTTTATTTATGCGAATACTGTGACTGGATGAGTATGGCAATAATAAGAACTCGCATTCTGATATCTGATACATACAACTTAATGCAGATTATCCTGAAATCGCAGATTTGTCTTAAAAAATCGCAATAGTAAATGCATACAATAATTTCTGAATTAACAGTTTATCAATTGTACTTGCATATTGTTTGAGTTTATCCTCTCGATAATTTGAATTTTAGCTAGAAATTTTTAATTTACAGTTCTGTTATTTTTCAGTTCAAAGAATCTCCCCATCATGTACCTTCTACACATTCAACCAAAACTTGCTGCAGCAAACAATGATGTAAGTGAGATAGAGTTTGTCAACAATGTTGCTATGGGCTACCTGACAGGGAACAACAGATTATGGTCTGCTGAAGACAGCATGTATTTATCTTATCCAGGTATATAAACTTTTGGAGAAATTATTTGGTCTTACATAGTTGGATAGACTAGCAACAAAATACCCCTATTAGTAGTTAAACAAATAATTAAATATTGTTGAAAATTTGTGTATAGTCTATAGAGATGCTGAATTGCTTATTCAAACCATAATTTTTAAATGAATTTCAGTGAAACATAAATGATATTTTTCTTAGCACAATGCTATATATATATACTCTATCTCCTCATAATTTGATCAGAATTGATTTTAGGGTAATCTGTAGAAAAAAAACTTTCATTATACCATTCATTCATACGGAGTGCAACATTTTTTGTCTGCAACTATTCATGAACCAATTGAAAGATTTTTATGGAACGTTCAGGGATATTTTAGGACATTATGCAATAATTCATTTCAGGGAATCTTCAGTTCCTATTTTATTAGTTTTAACAGTGATTTTCGGGGGTTGTAGCAAAATATTTGAAAAACTATTTTTATATTTGTTAGAGTGGGAGGTATTAACTCCTTTCATCTTCTTCAACTATTCCTAAACTATTCGATGGATTTCAGTAAAAGTAACATGGTTTCATTTAATATCGTTGTGTTCCTTTATGAATTTCATAATCAAAACTAAATATTTTACATAATGTCAAAGCAGAAACTTTTTATGAAGGAAACCATGAAATTTTATTTTCCAAAAAATACAAATACTTGTATATCACAAACGCTTTCATAAATATATACAATGTTTGTAGAAGGATGGATCTGTTTTTGTTTGTTTATGAGGTAAACATTTCTGAAATGGGTGAACAGAATGCTTTTGATGCAGAAGATGAAAATTCTGGAATTTTTATCTGTCATCCTTTTTGTCTTAGAAACATTTTTCATTTTTCTTTTTTATAGGACAAAATTTTACATTATCTAATGAAATGGTAGCTAACAATACACATGCCCACAGGAAAACTGTAATAACTTACATTGGGTCAGGAGACAAACAGGTAACATGTTTTTTTTTTATTTGGAGACTTTGGTGTTGCTGGCAGATATTTGATAACTTTTGTTTTATTTATTCACAACTTTTTAGTTGTGATATTGCCACAAAGAATTTTCTAATGTGGAGCAAAACAAACAACAATCAATCAGTCTTTTTCAGGATGATATTTTGAAGTGAAAGTAGAAGTATTTTTTAGGACTAAAATATTAATTAATTTTGCTCATGTAACCATATTAAACATTCTTGTATCTTTAACCTCTTTTAATTACTGTAAATAATTTTCATGAAGCTGAAAAATGTTTTTTGTTACAGGAAATAATTGAAATGAATGCTCATGTTAAAAACGAAAGTAACAGTTCCAGTCAGCACTTCTGTTATGACATGATTATAGAGCAGAAAGATAGATATGATATTCATTTTAAAGGTCATCTCCTTGGTAGCATCAGAAAGAAACTTTTCCTTCTTACAGATATTCACTTTAAGCATAAGGTAATAATCATTTCTTTTATATGTCATATTTTTTTATTTTGATTGGACTATGCACAAAAAACAATTAGATAAAATTCAAAATTAAACCTGATAAAATGAGTCTTGAAATCATTAAATAATTAAATCTTGAAATTACTACTAGTAGTTTAAATAACAGTTTCAATATAATTATATCCCTCACTTACTGAAGCAGGCAGTATATGGTGATAAAGGAGTGTGTCCCTTAGTTCGTTCATATTTTTATTGGTTCATCCTTACATTCAACTTTTTTCTCCACAAATGCTCCTAAACTCCTTTTATTGGAAATTATTGGAAATTTCTGAGAATCATAACCATTCAATTCCATTGTGCACCTTTTTTAATAATTTTTATCGGAACTAATTTTTCCAAGAACTACATGTATTTTGCCATTGCTTTATCTGGGAGTACCCATTTTGTATTGGCAACTCTTCCTTAACCCCTTATTAGAATTTTTTGAAACTTTCACGAATTGTATTTCAATATTATGCCATTGTGCACCTCTAATTTCGATTTTGTTTTATCCTAATTTGGGTGGGGGTGTGGGGGGGTTCCCTGTAACAAATCATAGACTTTGCAAGGTGGAGGGGGAAGGGGTTGGTGGTATCATTTTGTGAGCCTGTTATCCCCTGCTTTCTGAAGTGATTGTTATATAATGACAGGAAGTTATCTTAACTTTTTCAGGGTCCCCGTTAGTGAATTATTTTCATTGCTTTATATTGCAGGGGGTGGTCATTTTGTGAGCTTTGTAAGTAGTAGATCTAGTTTCTGAAATATTTCTGATTATTAAAATATGTTTAATTCAGCCAGGGACTGAGAATGGTGTCAAAAAAAGATCAGAGGATCTTGAAGTCCTAAAGAAAAGCAATGGAAATGCATGCAGTATCTTTGAACTTGATGAATGGGAAATCAATGTAAACTTAACAGTTGATGCTAAACCAATATTTGTAGTAGGACAACCGAGACCTAAAGGATTAGAATTTGTATGGCACTTAGGTGTACTTTATCCAGATTGTAAGAATAAAGAAGCACAGTTTATATCTGATGGAGCTATTGGAAGTCATCTACAAAATCAGCTTACTGATTTCAGGTTGATAACTATATGTATATATAAAAATAAAAAAATGTGGCATGATTGCAAATGAGAAAACTTTTCACAAGAGACCAAATACTTCATCTTATGGACCTGTTCTGTATTCAAATGATAATAATTACATAACATGTATGTTTCATTATAATATTATTATAATTCATTATATTTATTTTAACTTCCTCGCTTCATACAAAATGTACTTCGGTCAACGCTTTTACACCCCAATATTACAAAAAGAAGCATTCAATTCTTAAGTGAATTTAATTAGAAAGAGTTTATTGATGAGTAAATTACTTAGTATTGAAAGCTATCAGTATAGTATGTCTCAATATATTCTTCTTCTTTTTTAAGTTGTTTAAAAACAAGTGAAGATTCAACCTTCTGAAACTAATAAAACCATCTTTTTACTATTTCAGATATTGGTTAAGAAGCACATTTAGTTTGGTATCACCTGTTCAAACAAAATCCAAAGACTATGATATTGACTTTAACATTGAATACCAGTGGCATGATCATATTAATTTCAAGTTATTATATCATGGACCAAACTTAAATACATCATATCTTATCCATTTTGAGAGGTTCCCTAACGAAACTTCAGAGATTACCGTTAAATGTCATATGGATTCACTTTGGAAACTTCTAAATTTTGATTATGCAGGTAAATTTACATTATATTTAGAGTTTTGTTTTCACCCAGTTAATAGAGAAACCGCATCAGTAGTCTAGGGGTACTGAGATTGCCTCCTCAAGTGCTGGAGGTTGATCCTCATCTTAGTGTATTCCTGATGAAAGTACATCCAGAAAAGCACTTTGGGTGCATAAAAGTTTTTACAGTGTTATTGTCATTTTTATTTTATGCCCCGGTCTCGAGGGAGGGGGCATTAAATGTTACCCATGTCCATATGTACGTCCTGAAATTGGTTTCTGTTCTCTAACTTTTGTTTGCCTCAACCAAATGTTATGAAACTGATACTTTTAATGCTTATTACCACAAAACACAGATCGAGTTTGAATTTGGGTGGCGTCACTTTTACCGTTGTTTCTGTTCTCTAACTTAAGTTTGCCTCAACCAAATGTTATAAAACTTATACACAATGCTTATTGCCACCAAACTCAGATCAAGTTCCAATTTGGGTGGCGTCACTTTTACCCTTCTTGAATTATGTCCCTTTATAACGTTATATGCAAGCGGGGGCATCATCTTTGTCCCATGGACACATTCTCCATTTATCTTAGTTAAACTTTATGACTTTTTAAGTTGGTATATGATACTTCTCTGCTAAGAAATACAGTATTTGAGAGTATAAAGAACAGACTAGTCGCCTCAGAGTTTAATTAATGTGTCTGATTAGGGTGATATGTCTTCCTGCAGACTTTTATTACCTTTTAAGATAGTGTGCTAAAAATCCAACCCATTGTGTTGGTCAAGTAAAAGACTAGGGTATATTCAGATATTGTGAAGTAATCGTCCTATATATGTATGATATATTTGCGACTTGACATTACCAGGGTCAGTATGAATGAGACTTGAGCACTATGATGCATTGAATGCCTAGTTTCAAAATTTTATCAAGTGTTAATGCAAACAAACCAACATTTCCAAAGGAGAAGGTATGATAAGAGATCTTTTTGACACCTTAAATTTGAAAATTTTGAAAGTATTATAAATCTACCAAATAACATCCTTCAGATATTCATAAGACAATTAGATATTAGTGTTTATAGTTTTTAATTTTGTTTTACATGTTTCAATTAAGGCTTCAAACTACTTGAATTAAGTACAAAACTGCAAAAAAAACTGGCAAAAAATCCTCATTTTGATATCTTGTCATTAATATGTAGATATAAGCCAAGGGCTTTATCGCAAAAAGATGTTTTGCTACAAAATATATTATACAAAGATTTTATTGTGCAAAATATTTTTGAGGCAAGGCCTTGGCTCATATCCATTTTGTCCAATCAGTTTGTGTACAATTGCCATTTTTGTAATAAAAAGGGGTTTAAATGAACAAAATGTTACTTTATGTTTTCAGAACAGTACAAAATGGTTTATAAAGGATCAGGGCTAGCTGTTTCTGAATTAGAACACAGTTTTGAAGCTATGTCAGCTTTAGGGGAATTAAGATTATATACTAAACTTTCTGATGACAACACTACATTCCTGATACAGCAGGATGGCTATCTTAACACAAGTGTAAGTAGCATGAAATTAATGGAAGCAGTTTCTTGATATTTATAGATACAAGTTAGATGTGCAGTGAAGAAATACATTGAACACAACACCTCAGAGCTCATTCAATACACATTTCATACAAATTGATATTTATGCCCCCACCGTAGCTTAGTGTGTTCTGTCTTTCCATCCGTCTTCCTGTCCTTCCATCTTTCTGTCAGTTTATTTAATTTTCGTTTCCACACTCTAACTTAAGTTTGTCTCGTGCAAATTTTATGAAACTCATACACAATGCTAAGAACAAAACCTCGCAGACAGAGTTCAAATTTGGGCAGTGAGTCACTTACTGTCCTAGAGTTATACCCCTTTATAACTTGAAAAATTGCAAGTTTTATTGTTTCTGCACTCTATTGATACACAATGCTAAGAAACACAACACGCAGACATAGTTCGAATTTGGACATTGAGTCATTTACTGTACTAGAATTATGCCCCTTCTTAACTTTAAAAATAGCAAAGCTTGAGCGGGGGCATTTGTGTCCTCCGACACATTCTTCTATTATTAGTTTGTTTATATTGTGTAAATGATTTTGTTGTACTGCTTTTTAGGTTCAACATGCCCAAAATGGCCAAGTGAGCTTTTCTCATCACTTGGCGTCCGTTGTCCGCCTTCGTCGTCAGTTAACTTTTACAAAAATCTTCTCCTCTGAAACTACTTGGCCAAATAAAACCATACTTGGCCTAAATCATCCTTAGGGTATCTAGTTTAAAAAATTTATCCGACAACCCGGCCCATCAACCAAGATGGCTGCCATGGCTAAAAATAGAATATGGGGGTAAAATGCAGTTTTTGGCTTATATCTCTGAAACTAAAGCATTTAGAGCAAATCTGAAAGGGGTACAAATGTTCATCAGGTCAAGATCTATCTGCCCTGAAATTTTCAGACACATCAGACAACCTGATGTTGGGTTGCTGCCCCTGAATTGGTAATTTTAAGAAAATTTTGCAGTTTTTGGTTATTAGTCCCCTACCGACGAAGTCAAAGGGGACTTTAGGTTTGCACTCCGTCCGTCTGTCTGTCTGTCTGTCCATCCGTCAGTCCGGCAAATCAGTTTTCCACACTTTTTTTCTTCGTGCTTGAAAATATTAATTTTATATTTAGTGTATTGTTTAATCATGATTAGTTACAGATCAAGTTCGAATTTTGTTCAAGTCTGACAAATTTGTGCAGAGTTATGGTCCTTGAACTTAGAAAATTCACTCAAATAATCAGTTTTCCTCACTTTTTTTTGTCATGCTTGAAGATATTGATTTCATGATTGGTATATAGTTTGAGCATGACAAGTTACAGATCAAGTTCGAATTTTGTTCCGGTCTGATGATTTTGTGCAGAGTTATGGTCCTTGGACTTAGAAAATTCACTCAAATAATCAATTTTCCACATTTTTTTCGTCACGCTTGAAGATATTGACTTGATATTTGGTATAAAGTTTACACCATGACAAGTTATAGATCAAGTTAACATTTTGTTCCAGTACAATGAATTTTTAACCGGTAGGGGACTATGTATTGCCAGGCAATACTTTCAGAATGCTTGTTATCTTGAATATTATAATAGATAGAGATAAACTGTAAACAGCAAAATTGTTCAGCAAAGTAAGATCTACAAATAAGTCAACATGACCAAAACTGTCAATTGACCCCTTAAAGAGTTATTGCCTTTTAAAGTCAATTTTTCACAAATTTTCGTAAATTTTTATATGACCGCAAAAATTTTCACGTCGTTGTCGTCCGAAGACATTTGGTTTCTGGACAATAACTTTAGTAAATGTAAATAGAAATCTATGAAATTTAAACACAAGGTTTATAACCTCAAAAAGGTTGGGATTGATTTTGGGGGTTATAGTCCTTACAGTTTAGGAATTAGGGGCCAAAAAGGGGCCCAAATAAGCATTTTTCTAGTTTCCAGACAATAACTTGTGGGATGGTGTATGGATCTCTCTGAAATTATACCACAAGTTTCCATACCACAAAGGGATGGTTAGGATTGGCTTCCGGGGGTTATGGTTCAAACCGTTTAGGAATTAGGGGCAAAAAAGGGAAAAACAAGGGTTTCCTGGTTAATAGACAATTTAAAAGCAGTGTAAGGGAGGTAATCCAAACACATTTTAAGTAAAATATTGTGTATATTTGGATTTACCTCCCTTACACTTCTTTCTAGTTTCAGGACAATAACTTGTGTATAAGTATTTTGATTGTTCTGAAATTGTACCACAAGGTTCAATACCACAAGTTTAAGGTTTGGATTCATTTTGGGGGTAATTGCCCAATCTGTTCAGGAATTAGGGGCCAAAAAGGGTCTAAAACAAGCATTTTTCTAGTTTTCAGACAATAACTTTTGTCTAAGTGTATGGATGTCTCTTAATTTGTACCACATTTTACAAAAAGAAAATTTCTTCAAAATTATTTTTTTTGGAAGGGGGGATAAAGAACAAAATTTTGCGGGGGGGGGTGGCAATTTTTTTTCCTCAAAAGAAAATTCTCTTCAAATATTTTTTTTTTTTTGGAGGGGGGTAAAAAAAATATTTTTATTTTAGGGGTGGGCAATTTTTTTTCCCTCAAGATTTAAGAAACTCAATTTTCCAAAGAAGAAAATTGGGGGATCACAATTTTTTTTGCTAATTCTTTGTATATAGTCTGAAAACAGATTTACTAAGTATTGCAAAACAGCACAGTGTATTGCACAACAGCAAGAAATCTTCAATTGAATATAAATTCAAAATTTCAAATCATACATTTGGATTCCAGACAATAACTTTAGTTTAAGTGTATGGATCTCTATGAAATATAACCAAAAGGTTCAATACCACAAAAGGAAGGTTGAGATTGTTTTTGGGAGTGATGGTCCCAACCGTTTAGGAAATAGGGGCCAAAACAAGCATTTTTCTAGTTTCAGGACAATAACTTGTGTATAAGTATTTTGATTGCTCTGAAATTGTACCACAAGGTTCAATACTACAAGTAGAAGGTTGGGATTCATTTTGGGGGTAAATGCCCAAACTGTTCAGGAATTAGGGGCCAAAAAGGGTCTTAAACAAGCATTTTTCTAGTTTTCAGACAATAACTTGTGTTTAAGTGTATGGATGTCTCTAAATTTGTACCACATTTTACAAAAAGAAAATTTCTTCAAATATCATTTTACCATATTGTTTTTTTCCTCAAGATTTAAGAAATTGTCAATTTTCCAAAGAAAAAAATTGGGGGTCACAATTTATTTTGCTAATTCTTTGTATATAGTCTGAAATCAGGCTGTTATCTGCTTTTTGGCCGGGTTGTTGTCCATTTCCCATTTCCATTCTCAATTTTATTACTAAGTATTGCGCAACAGCACAGTGTATTGCACAACAGCAAGAAATCTTCAATTGAATATAAATTCAAATCATACAACCAATTTCAAGTTCTTTGACTACATTTATTCTTTGTCAGAAACCTATAATGTGTCAAATATTTAATTACAATCCAAATTCAGACCTGTATCAAGCTTGAATATTTTGTCCATTTTTGCACCAACTGTTCAGGGTTGGATCTCTGCGGTCGTATCCAGCCGCGCTCAGCAAAGTAGTTTATTGTAATCTTTTACAAAAATCTTCTCTGAAACTACTGGGCCAAATTAAACCAGACTTGTCCTAAATCATCCTTAGGGTATCTTGTTTAAAAAATGTATCCGATGACTCAGCCCATCATTCAAGATGGCCTCCATGGCTAAAAATAGAACATGTGGGCAAAATGCAGTTTTTGGCTTATATCTCTGAAACTAAAGCATTTAGAGCAATTCTGAGTGGAGTTAAAATGTTCATCAGGTCAAGATCTATTAGCCCGTTGTTGGGTTGCTGCCCCTGAATTGGTAATTTTAAGGAAATTTTGCAGGTTTTGGTTATTATCTTGAATATTATAATAGATAGAGATAAACTGTAAAAAGCAAAATTGTTCAGCAAAGTAAGATCTACCAATAAGATAACATGACTAAAATTGTCAATTGACCTCTTAAGGAGTTATTGCCCTTTATAGTCAATTTTTAACAATTTTTCGTAAATTTTTGTAATCTTTTACAAAAATCTTCTCTGAAACTACTGGGCCAAAAAGAATCAAACCTGGCCACAATCATCCTTAGGGTATTTAGTTTAATGTCTGATGACCCCGCCTGCTAACCAAGATGGCAGACGTGGCTAAAAATAGAACATATGGGCTAAAATGCAAGTTTTGTCTATTATTCTGATAACCATTATAAATAGAGGAAATCTGAAACGAGTAAAATTGTTCAGAATGTTGAGCTCTACCAGTTGTCCATATACATCAAAACTGTCAGACGATTTCCTGTAGGAGTTATTTCCCTTGAATGACAAATTTTACCACTTTTTAGCTCACTGGGGCCCGAAGGGCCGCATGTGAGCTTATGCCATCACTTGGCGTCCGTCGTCGTCTGTCATCGTCGTCTGTAGTCGTAAACTATTTCAAAAATCTTCTCCTCTGAAACTACTGGGCCAAATACCTTCAAACTTAAACTAAATATTCCTTAGGGTATCTAGTTTATAATTTGTATCCGAAGTTTTGATCCATTGACAAACATGGCCGCCATGGCTAAAAATAGAACATAGGGGTCAAATGCAGTTTTTGGCTTATATCTCAAAAACTAAAGCTTTTAGAGCAAATCTGACATGTGGAAATTTTCAGACGAATCAAACAACCCATTGTTGGGTTGCTGCCACCGAATTGGTAGTTTTAACAAAATTTTGCAGTTTTTTGTTATTATTTTGAATATTATTATGGATATATATAAACTGTAAGCAGCAATAATGTTCTGCAAAGTAAGATCTACAAAAAAGTTAATATGACCATAATTGTCAATTGACTCCTTCAGGAGTTATTGCCCTTTAAAGACAATTTTACACAATTTGTTCATCAAGTTTGCTAACATTTAAAAATCTTCTCATCTGAAACTACTGGGCCAATTACCCTCAACTTTTAAATAAATGTTCCTTAGGGTATCTTGTTTATAAATTGTATCTGAAGTTCGTATCCATCGACAAACATGGCCTCCATGGCTAAAAATAGAACATAAGGGTCAAATGCAGTTTTTGGCTTATATCTCAAAAACTAAATCTTTTAGAGCAAATGTGACATGGGGTAAAATTGTTCAGTTGGTCAAGATCTATCAGCTCTGAAATTTTCAGACAAATCGAACATTCCATTGTTGGGTTGCTGCCACCGAATTTGTAGTTTTAACAAAATTTTGCAGTTTTTTTGTTATTATTTTGAATATTATTATAGATATATATAAACTGTAAGCAGCAATAATGTTCAGCAAAGTAAGATCTACAAAAAAGTTAATATGACCAAAATTGTCAATTGACCCCTTAAGGAGTTATTGCCCTTTAAAGACAATTTTACACAATTTGTTCATCAAGTTTGCTAACATTTAAAAATCTTCTCCTCTGAAATGCAGGTGAGCGATTCAGGCTCTTGAGAGCCTCTTGTTTCATTTTTGCCTATTATGTTGAAAATTATAATAGATATAGAGAAACTTTAAATTGCAAAAATAATCAGAATGACAAGGCCTATAAATCAGTCTTATGGTTGAAATTGTCAGTTGACTCCTTATTAGAGTTATTGCCCTTTGATGCCGATTTTTACAATTTTTTTTTTGCGTTTTGCCTTATATAATAAAATTTATGATAGATAGATAGAAACTTAAATAATCAAAAATGATAAGAAACTTAAATAATCAAAAATGATAAGCAAGACGAGACCTACTAACAAGTCAAATTTTGCCGATATATTTAGACTGTTACTCTTTATTGGAGTTATTGCCCTTGAATTAGGAAATTTTATTTACCCTCTTTTGTGTTTGGAGCAAAAGCTTAATAAGATAGAGACAAACTAAACAGACTTCAATGATCAGCAATATAAGATTAAAAAAAAAACAAAGATTTTTATCATTAATTCTATTCTTGTCTACAATGTTGGAGAGTGTACTTTGTTGAATATGCATATAGACCAAGGTGAGCAACACAGGCTCTTTAGAGCCTCTAGTTTATTTATCCAGCAATCAGCAAATTTACCATAAAAATTATAGGTATAAATGAACTTAAATTCAACAGTTATCATGTCCTACTTATTTGTTATGAGCAAATTACTCTTCTTATCACATTTCTGAAGATGTTGTCTTCACAGTTGCATCCAAATAGTGTCAATTATTATGAAAAACCATTAATAACTAGGAATTAAGAAGCTCAACTTTTCAGTGATGATATTAAATTTCTGGATAAACACAGTTTACATTCCTTATATGAAAATATATAATTTATCTAAACTGCCTTTGTATGGTTTTTTTTTAGTCTGATGTTGCCGATCGATGTTGTCTGTTGTACTGTCTGGTGATTCCTGTTATCCTTTGTTGTGTATTATTCCTTCTTCAAAAGGAACGAAGCCAACCAATCTCGTATATTCTCTTCTTTTAGGGTTAAAAGTGGATGTAGGATTTATGTGAAAATAAGAGGATGTAGTATGGTTTCCAATGAGAGAACTAAGTACCAGAGTTTAAATGAAAAAAAATGTAAGCAATTATAGGTCACCATACTACCTTCAACAATGAGAAAAACCCATCTTGTTTATTGAGCTATAAAATGTCCTGACAAGAAAAATGTGTATGTTCTTTTGTTACAAACAAAGTGACTGGAGAACTACAACTGAACAATTTGTTTGTATTGATAAATACAAAGTTTTCTATGATTATTTATTCTGTCTTATTAGCATCCTTACCTGTATGGAATGACTAATTTTTCCAATCAAATAGTATTATCAAAGAAAGCCAAATCAGGAATGAATGTTAAACTGACCAGGAATCATACAGAATACTACATTGACACAGTGATAATGAGTCCTTGGACTATAGATACTTCATTCTCTATCAAAATGGTACAGTAGTTGCTTAATACACACTGCATATGGTATTTTAATTGTGCTCCTTAGATGACATTTTAAGTAATTTTAAAACTGAAAGACATCTCTGGTCATTAGTTCACAAATTATTTTATCTTTTGATTAATCTGGGATGAGGATAGGATAAATTTATTCAGTATCTTTGGGAATTAAATGATCACTTGGAAGAATGATGTCAAAATTATGAAAAGAAAAAATAGTGGCAGCTGATCCACATCAAGTGTGTGACATAACTTTGTATAGTTATAATCCACAGGTTCATGCAACAGTGGAAACGGTCCTGGGAAATGTGGTCTTTTCTAATTGATTATAATTTAGTAGCCAAATTGTCAATTTATAAGAATGCTTTCCTTTACTTTCATTACGTAATCATTTTGTACTGCATAAATTGTAACAGTTATGTATTTTACCACATGAGAGAAACAGAGTTATTTATTTCCTTGCATGCAAGTGATTGAAAAACAATTCTTTCCTTCAGCCTAGCAGACCTAAGATGTTTTTCCTCTCATGGTTAAATGAATTGGTTGGAAGTTCAAGTCAAAAGAGTACAATTCAGTGGAATCCATTGTTTACACGTAAAATAGTAGCTATCTTGAAAGCCAAGAAACAAAAGTTGGCAAATGCCTTATCTGATGCTAGCATTGTACTTGAGAGGAACCTAGAGAAAAGTATAATGTCTATGATGATTCCATTTGTTAACAAGGTAACACATTCTCAAGGTAAATGTAGAACTGGGGATGCATTAATTTTTCTTGGCTACATGTACTAATTTATTATATGGAATGAGGAAAAAATGTTTTTTCAATGATACTTGATATCATATTTCAACTAATTCTGCATATAAGCCTTTAGAAAAAAAAATTTGTTCATACAATTTGTGGTTAACTTTTACAAATGAAATCCTCAAAAGTAAGTACCCAACAAAAAATAATGAGTTCACCGTATATATTCTAAATTAACATTTAGAAAATAACTTTAGACCAGATCTTTTTTCAATTGCTGTAATTGTTAGACTACTGTAAATTCAGAAATTATTGCGTGCATTTATTATTGCGATTTTGTCATTTTAGACTAAAATGCGATTTTAATTTTTGCAATATTGAGAAAAATCCAGTTTAAATTATATAAAAAATTTCAAATGCAAGTTTAGATTATTGCGATTATAGCCCTGTCACATTTTTCGCAATAATTTCTGAATTTACAGTAATTATTGCATTGATATACTGAAAAAAAGATAACTAACTCTCATTCTTCTAATTTTACTTGCACACATCAGGAGAAATTTCACATCAATTTATATAATTTTACTTTTCTACATTGGCTAGAGGTATAGGGGGAGGGTTGAGATCTCATAAACATGTTTAACCCCGCCGCATTTTTGCGCCTGTCCCAAGTCAGGAGCCTCTAGCCTTTGTTAGTCTTGTCTTATTTTTAATTTTAGTTTCTTGTGTACAATTTGGAGTTTAGTATGGCGTTCATTATCACTGAACTAGTATATATATTTGTTTAGGGGCCAGCTGAAGGACGCCTCCGGGTGCGGGAATTTCTCGCTGCATTGAAGACCTGTTGGTGACCTTCTGCTGTTGTCTGTTCTATGGTCGGGTTGTTGTCTCTTTGACACATTCCCCATTTCCATTCTCAATTTTATATAAGTCAAACTTCCAATAGACATAATTCTGTTTTTGTTGATTAGTCTTTTTACAACTGTTAAGTAACCATTTATCAGTTTTTGCAACATAGCTTCAATCAAATGGTTTGTAGCTTTATAGTCCATATGTGATGGAGTTACACTACACTACAATTTATGAACTGGTGATCACTTGAGATCATTTAAACATAGGGGACTGAGTTTAATATTATACTGGGCCATTTGTAAATATTTTACTCCTCGCTTTATGTAAATCTAATGTAAAATGTATAAAAAAAGAAGTAATTAATCAAGGTGAGCTATGAGCAGTGCAGTCCTTTGTGAGCATCTGTTTTACAATACAAGTATTTAATGAGGACTGCATATTTTCCAGACGGTTGGTCATGTGATTTCCAGAGTTGCTGTTCCTGTTTTCCATTATTTGCCTTTGCCTTCTAACATGAAAAGAATGATAGCTGTAACACTTCAGGGAAAACCAACAGCAGCCAATCAAATCTCTGCTGGGATAGAAAAAGGAGAAAGAATCCAGAATGACGATAGAAGAATGAATTTATTTGGTAAGGTGCTTAGATAATCCCACAATTAAAGGGATGATTGTTATGGATGTTGTCCATCTTACTGGCAAATTTTATTTAAGTTTAAAACACAGTCACATGTACTGATTTTAAAGAAAAAATTTTGAAGGTTGTGACAGCAACACATTCTTGCCATAGTAGATTGCATGTTTAAAGTTTTGGTTAATTTGCTTGCTAAATGGTAAAAATATAATATAAATTTGAACGTAAGAAGGTTATCTTTTATGAAGTGTTTAGATGACATTATACACTGTATAGATGACATTATACACTGTATATAATGCTAAGTGGAAAGTTTTTCCTACAATTAATATCATATCCTTTAAATTATTTAAATATTTGCTGGAGAAAATATTTTAAGATGTGAGCTAATTTATATCTTTTTGTTCTGCAGGAGAAAAGTTAATAGGAATCATAACAAAGTTGGAGTCCAGAATGTTGTATTGCCTATCTACCTTGCTGACTGAGCCTCCACTATTGATTAAAGATATTGTAACTAAGAAAATGAAACCACATTTATATGAAGCAATGAAGACAAATAAGATATCGTTTATACAGCCATTGATTTTCAAATGGAAGCATTTTTTGGTATGTATTTGGCAGATAACCAAAACAATTGATAGACTAGGTAGAGCAAATGTTGTTTTTCTAATGCAGTGAACAAGCATTTTGATGCAATTAATGGCTTAAATGAGTAAAATGAAAGAAAAAAAGTGCAATTTAAAGTTTGCAGATGAATTTTTATTTAACTTATATGTGAGTTTATTATAAAACTGTTTCATTCATACAATTAAAACTTTTGATTTGAAAGTATTAAAAAGGGAGGTATGGAAATAAATTTTAATTATAACCCAACCTCAATGTTTAAGATCAACAGTCTGACTTCAAAATGGCAACAATGATTGGTTCTGACTGACAAAATATTGTATGAGACCCTTAACAACAGACACAAATGAGTGACATACTATAAACTGACAATGTCAAGCATTTTGTAAAACTGACCTAGTTAAAGATGTATTTATAGCACAACATTTGATAAATAATTAGATAAAGGTTAAAATATGAAAAATTGAACTGAGCGAAAATATAAAATAACTGTCAATTATTTCTTCTTTATAAGTGCTTCAATGAAATAGCGAAACAGTTTGGTCTTTTCAATTGTTTAATTTTTTTTTTTCTGACATCCAGTGATGTTTTAATTTTTGTTTCAGTGTGCTTTTGACTTCAATACAAATGTTATTTCTTCTTAAATATATTGTCATGATTGTTAAAAACTTTTTCTCTAACAGGCTATCCCAGGATTGACAACAGGAGAAAAGTACATACTAGGTTTTATTAAATCAAGGCTAGCATCTCAGCCTGAAGACAAAGATACACATACAGCCTTGATATATGATAGCAGTGAAGTCCTCACATTTGATGGAAAGTTATTTCAGACCAAAGGTTGGTGTTTCTTATAGAATAATTGTTTTCCCAAAGCATTATTTCTATATAGGTATGATATTATTGATAATGATTTGAGCAAACATTTATCAAAGCAATAGCAAGATTTTTGCAATGAAAAGTAAACACAAAATTTTTTAGAAATTGTAAAATTTTAGAAAGTGTACCAAGATATTTTAAAAAATATACAATAAAGTATTTCTTCGTTATATTTGATTGGATTTTGAAGAGTAATGCCTGTATACATTTCATATTTCATAATGGTGACAGATCATCTTGGGATTGCAACAATATGTTGCTGCATTTTTTGGCTCTATGAGAGCCACATTCTAGTCTTCAGTTTTAGGAGTGCAAACAGAAAGCATACTTACAGAGATAAAAGTACATAAAGTGAGTGGACCAGGATGTAAGGATGAAAATTTTAACTGCCGCTGGAAAAAACTGTTGTGTTGGGTAGGACCTTACGTTGGTCACCTACTGAGCTCTCAAAGTTCTGTAACCCAGTGTTGAAAATAAGATGTGGTCTTAATGTTGGGTCCAGAAAATGTGTTGTTGATATTGATTGAAGTCAAGGAAGTACATCAGAAAATTTTCAGAAAAAAATGCGATCTACCTTTCAAACAAATTTAGATGAGAGATTTGTTTTTATTGGATGAGGAAAATTCATGTCTATACTGGGCTGAATGACTTGTAAACTCAACTTCAAGAAGTCATTGAATGCTGTATTAGCTATAAATTGTTAAAGATAAAAGGCTAACATTTGATGTAAGGGGAGAGCACTTGTCCTTTACTAAGTTTAAATTTTTGTATATTTCAGGTGACAGCACATGCCCACACTTAATGGCAGCAGACATTAAACATGGTCACTTTGCAGTGGTGTATTCAAGAGAAGGAGTTACAGTTGTAACTAAAAAATCAATGGTAACAATTTACAGTGGAGGCCAGGTTTTTATTAACAGTTGCAACACACCAGTGTAAGTTCATAGTTTGTTGATAGTGTAAGTTCATAGTTTGTTGTCAGCAACACACCTGTGTAAGTTCATAGTTTGTTGTAAACAACATTTTACCTGACTAAAGTACTGTCTAGTTATTTAATTATATCTGTGAAAAGTGGGATTTAAACAGAATAACTAATTCATGGTTACCTATGCTAATTAAGGCTAAAATAAATACCATGGCATTGAATATTTCGATGGTTTATATTTCACAAATAAATTACGAAATTTTTTTTAAAAATAAGACACTAATAGGAGTATTCTTTATTTCAATTCTTCAGTTTCCTACCAATATTACTACTTGAAATTTCTTTAAACTTAGCAAAAATGTAAAAGTTTCAAAGTGTTCTTTTATTGAAATGTTGTGGTAAACATTCAAGATGTATCAAATATTAATTAAATAAATATATTTTTTTTCCAATTTACTGCAGCCATTCAACCCAGTACAGATGAGATTTAAACCATGATTGTTATTTCAATTAGATGATATTTTCATATTAAAATCTATTAAGTTATTATTTTAATTTCTGAAAGGGATTTTTAGCCACTTTATATATTTGAACAATTTGATAACAGTTTTCATGGTTAAGGACATTATGAAATTCTGTTAGATGATGCTGGCATTTAGTTTAGCTGTAACAGGCATCTTAAAATACCCTGTATTATATACTGAAATTGCTTCATTTTTATTTACTACAAAGTTTTATGTACATTTAAATTTATCATTAAACAAAAATGTTCAGCCTCCATAATGCCTGTAATGTTATATACATCAGTGACTTTGTTGGTATATGCATTGTTGTTTTGTTTTGAATATGTTTTTACATTTTTACATCTCCCCCCTTTTCTTTTTTACAGAAAATTACCTTATGAAACTGATGAAATGAAGATTATAAAGAAAAGCGTGTCAAGAGTTATTTCCCTTGGTGATGGTATCACCATTTCCTGTGACATAAACAATTCACATTGTAACTTCAAACTGAAACATCATAAAAATCAAACTATTGGACTGCTAGGAAATAACGATGGAGAAATAGGAAATGATTTCCAGAGGCCAGAAAGTTTAGTCAGTCCAAGCGTTGACCAGTTTGTTTCTGGATATGAACTGAAGACATCCAAGTTCTGTCAGTCAACATCTACGGGTATGCTTAGTCAGGTTAAAGCTTGTGATGACATAACCCAGAATTGTATGACATTATTTACTGATGTAGATTCGCCATTGGCTGTATGTTTCGGAAAGGTGGATGTTACTCCATTTCTTGTAAGTCATAGTAGTACAACAAAACATAGACTTCTCATTGTAACAAATGAGGGGGTGAAAGGGGGCGGGGGGGGTCATACCCATATTTGATCCCCTAAAAAATCATTGAAACTTTTAAAGCAAATTTATTATTTTTATTCAAATGATTTGTGTGACAGTAACACTCTTCTAGACACAGTTCAAGTTATTTCTTTCCAGCAAAATGAACCCTAAATAGCTGACTATAAAGGTCAGGGTTATTGAATAGCATCATCAAAAAAATATTTAAGCATGATTTTTAAATTCAATTTCTTTAAGACATGGAATAGTGCTTCCTGAGAAATCATTTAAGAGGGTGGTAAAGGGTTATTTTCGTGAAACGTGTTATGCCATTTTTATTTCATGTGCAGTCGTGAAAAAAGTTCGTTATTAACCGTTTTTTTGAGAAATCGGTAAAAAGATCAACTTGCAAGAAATTTTTAATTGTTCGTTCATCGTGAAATGGCAATTTTATTTCGCGTTCTTCCGTGCAGATACCCCCCTTTACGCCCCTCATTTAAAATCCTAAAATTAGAGGTTAAGGCAACAACATAACATAAAGGAAAATTAATGTTTTAAGTATGTGCATTTGAAACGTTGTTGTGTAATGCCATTATTTTCAAATATCTTCTCTCCCCAGAGGATGCTGGACATTTCATCGTCCAAACTTTAACTTATATACAAAAGCCTGAAAAGATATGAAAATTAAAAAAAACGTACACTTGATTATTATTTTTCTTGGTTACAGAAATCATGTCAAGAAAGAGTGAAAAGTTGTATGCCAAGTGCAATATGTCCATCAGTTCATGCTTATATATCTAAGTGTGATATAGTGGGAATAACAGTAGAACCATCACAACAGCTAGGTAAGACTTGGCTTTCTTTAAATGTTTAGATTTGATAAAAACAAGGAATTATTTGAATCTGGAATAATTTTTAATTCTGGAAAATTGATGAGAAATTTATGATGAAAACTAACCCAACTAAATAGTTAGCCATGCGCGCATGGCTAAGGGGGGTTAGTTAGTTCATACTGAAATGATAGTGAAAGTGAAATTAACCTTAGCCATGCGCGCATGGCTAACCCTATTTAGTTGGGTTAGTTTTCATCATACATTTCTAATCAATTTTCCAGAATTCAAAATTATTCCAGGTTCAAATAATTCCTTGTTTAAAGCAGATTTTTTATGTGTTTCAACAAAATTTACGCACAAGAAATTTCTTCTCTTTCAATGATAGATTTATTGTTACCAAATTTATAATTAAAAATATTTTTTTCAATATTTCTCCATAGTTAGAGTGGTTTATCTGCGAAAAAAACGACTTTTGTACCTTAATTTAATACTTTTGATTCAAGTGAAGTTTTAACAGTGGTATTACAGGTTAACACAACAAATGTAAACAGGTTTTTGAAAGTGCAAGTTTGTTACCAGATTATTTTCTGAAATAGTAACTTTGTCAGGTATTATAATGGAAAATGGCCTTCAATAAAACATTACACAAAAAGTAAAGCATTTATTGATGTATAAGGAGCAACCTTATTTCAGTCAGTCATCTTTAAGGGGAGATAATTAGAAATACATAGTGATGGCAAACTGCAACATAGAGGCAGTATTACTGTTAATGCTGGCTGACATTATCGTAAGTTAATGTTTAAAAAATCAGAACAGAAGGTGTAATGGTAAAGAATTTTATTGTTTTAGATGTATGTAAACAGATTTATCAATCAACAGAGGAAATCCCATCCAAAGCCCTCTTAGATATTGTTATTGTTCTGTATAAGGAGGAAAGCAATGATTTCTGTTTACCTTGCATTGAAATACTTGTAAAATATCTGCAGACCTGTGATCAAACTGATGTAAAATTGACATTCATACAGTTTGACAGGTAAGTGAAAAACAAGCAAAAATTGAAAAAAAAAATTATAATTGAATTCTTTTATTCTAATGCAACTCCATAACATGGCTGTTGGTTTGTATTTAGCAATACAAATCTGTTTGCTTTGTTATCTCCAGATTCAGGACAGAAAGAAACTGCATTTTGTATAGAATCATAACACACGGACTTCAATCTGCTTTTAAATTTCATTTGGATAATATAACCTATTGTGATATAACACAATGGAAAATTACGATTGTAGTATAGGAGTACAGAGATACTGATACAAGGTTTGATAAAAAGGATTAGTCCCTTAACTGTAGCCAATACGTTTTGGTTTTAGATTGCTTCAGTGATTGCCTTGTGCTGAACATGCAAGAAATATTTTCAAGACTTATTTGCTTATTAAACTTCTCATACACAATTTGATTTATATATAGTTAATATTTAAATTGTTTAATCACAAATTCACTCTATTAAAGCCATACAGTTCCTCTGCATCATGTTCTCATGGAGGGTACACAACATGGATTCAGATTACATTCACAGAAGGTTGTGACAATCATCAAAGATGGACAGGTATGTATGTATACACAGTGACATCTCATCTGAGATGAACTCCAAAATGTGGTATGAGATAGTTTATCAATGGTAAATGTTGTATTGAGGGAACAATGACCATTTTAGGACATCCATCATAATTTTTTTGATACTGTCCCATAGTGCCCTTTGAGCCATGGCCCTTACTTAATGTATGTCATGCATTGCCATTTTATTCATCTTTGGTATACCTGTCAACTGACCCAATTTCAGGTAACACCCGAAAATTTACCCACTCACCTGAAATTTTACTGACATCCACCAGGGTCTCCATTTTTTACCAAAAATTACGTGTACATGGGTATATATTTTACTTTGTTTAAAACCGTTCCAAAATTATCATTTTCAAAATTTTTCTTTCAAATTTTTTAGAAGGTGTAATACCACCATTGTTTTTCCCCTATTAGTCTTTGTAAAATTTGCACTTTTCAAAAAATTATGCAGAATTTATCTTTGTTTCAAATAAAGAAATACTTGGCATGAGTAAAGTTTTATCCTGTCCAGTACTATAGACAAAATTGCAAATAACATTTCATTACATATAAGAAAATAACCATCACTGGAAGTTAACCAATCAAATTTTCAACCCTTTTTTTCCTGTGTACAAGCTTTAGTAACCATGTAACCTCAAGTTACCAAAATATTCTATAGAAACACCAAATAAAAAAATAATGGTGCTTTGAAACACCCAAGATATATGTTTATGACTCAGAATTATTTTACTGCAATGAAATGTAGGATTAATTTCCTGCAACTGTCAAATTCAAGGGAATATTTTTTTTCGACCCTTTTTAGTATGCAACCAGATGTGACATTCTATGATTTGGTGGTGTTACACCTAAAGAAGACTTTATTGTTGAATAAACTGAATGTGATTTTTTTTCCTTTGTAATACTGGTTATTTCAAGCATTACTGTCAAGTTTTGTCATGATCAGTTCAATTGTTTGAGAAAAAACCAGTATAATATTAGACGACATCTACAGCGATTCAAGCAAAATTTCTTCGAAAAATCCAAATCAAGCCGCATCATGATAGAATATAGTGTGGACCAATGGTCAAAAATTCATATCATCTGCCTACAGACAGTTGAATATGATACAAAAGATGACTCCAGGATGATAAATACCACTAACGTACCTCTTTGTTTTCATTATAAGGTCCCTTTTGCTCCGTTTATACCTCTCATTTCCTCAAAATTTCAACTTTTTAGGCCAATAAATCTAAATTTTATAATAAAAGAGTAATTGAAGTATTCAAGCTGAATGAACTATCCATATAAAAGTTTACTGACTCCATGGAGGTTTCAATAAGTCCTTATGTAAAACTTAAATTTACGCCGCGCTCCAGAGTGGGACATAAAAAGCTTCCCTTTTAGTGGATAATTTTTGTTACTGCTTCAAAAATAATTTCATTTACTTATAACTGTATATTTATTAAGGTATTACTTAGGAAACAGTTTTCTGTTATAGCAAAATATAAGATAAAGGAGAAAAAGTCAGCAAAAGCTCCCAAAACACAGAGTATGGCTTGCTCTGTCTACTAATATTCATGGTAGAGTCCTATTTCAAGGCAATTTTCTCATAAAATGTGTTTTTGAGACTCAATCCACTCAGAATATTTCATTTTTGTAATATTTCACTTAAATAGCATGAAATTTTAACAAATGAGAGTACACACAAGGTCAAAGGTGCATGTGCAGCTTCCCATAATAGGTGTAATACCACCATTGTTTTTCCCCTATTGGTATTTGTTGAATTTGCACTTTTCTAAAAAATTGTGCAGAATTTATCTTTGTTTCAAATAAAGATATACTTGGCATGAGTAAAGTTTTATCCTGTCCAGTACTATAGACAAAATTGCACATAACATTTCATTGCGTATAAGAAAATAACCATCACTGGAAGTTAACCAATCAAATTTTCACCCCTTTTTTTCCTGTGTACAAGCTTTAGTAAGTACTAACCATGTAACCTCAAGTTTCCAAAATATTCTATAGAAAAACCAAATAAAAAATAATAGTGCTTTGAACACCCAAGATATATGTTTATGACTCAGATTTTTTTTACTGCAATGAAATGTAGGATTAATTTCCTACAACTGTCAAATTCAAGGGAATATTTTTTTTCAACCCTTTTTTGTATGCAACCGGATGTGACATACTATGATTTGGTGGTATTACACCTAGAACTACCCAATTTTAATGATATTGTGACATTGGAGTACCAGAACAGTAAAAGTATGATACTTTTTTCCTTAACTTTGATCTCTTAAAGAATATAATAAATGACTAGAAAAATTAATGAAGGAAAGAGCTGTCAAATTGACAGCAAACTGGGTTTTCTGTATTTTCAATGGTGCTTTCAGGCTATTTTAATTTGCCACATCCTATGCCTATTTTCCAATCTGTCAGGGACTAGAACTCCTGAACAACAAAAATGGAAATCATCAATATTAAACTTAAACACCATTTTTTCATCAGTAGGCCCAAGAACACAGTTATTTCGTAGTGCATTTCTTTTAGACAATAAAGTCAAATTAAAAAAATCACACCTGCTCTATCTCAAAAAGATTTTTACAGTGTAGTGTACTACTATTGAGACAAATAATATCAAAATTATAGAAAAGTCTACCAGCTCTAACTCAAAATATTGACAATTCTATGTTAAGGGGGTCTAAAATTCAGTTTGACAGCTTCAGACATACTAGTTTTTGACCTTTTTTAACTGGACCAAATCACTTCTTAACATAAAGATTCAGCACCCAAATTTTTTTAACATGTAACTTCATCCCCTTACTTAATATTTCATGCAAAAAATATAAAGAAATAAATTTGGAAAGTGTATGAAAAAAAATTGCAAGTTATACACTGTCCACACTATGGACTATATTTGTAGACAACGAAAATCTAAGGACGATAACTGTGTCCTTGGACCAGTAACAACCTATTTAAAGTTTAAAAGCATTGGTCAAGTCTTTCATAAGTAAAGGCACAGAAACAAAATAAAGTGACATTTTCCTATAGATCAAGGACCATAACTCCTGAAGAGTAAAAGTGAAAACTATCAATATTTAATTTGACCTCCATTTTGTCATCAGTAACAACATATTATAATTTTAAAATCATAGGTTATTGAATGGAAACGACATGAACGGTAAAAGTGAATATCTCCAATATCAAACTTGGCCTCCACTTTGTCATTAGAATCAATATATTAAAATTTGAAAAGCAGTTGTTGAACGGTTCATAAGTTAATGCATGGAAACTGATGACAGTCTCCTGCCATACTTCTCTAATTTAGTAACTAAGTTTCCTTGTGAAAAAGTAGCACCTTCCTTTCCTAGTTCTTTAATAACAGAAATAAAGGAATACTACTTGGTATAAGATTGAATATTTGGTGTTTTTAGCAGATTAGGAAACAGAACATGTACCTTTTTTATGTTATTTTATAATGGGTTAAGCACCACTGGTATTAAGAATTTTATCAGAAAAATTGATAATTACACTGTATTTCAGGATTTATCAGAGGAGGAATACAACAATCTGAAAGACCATTATGTTGCAAACAATATTATTCTAAATATCATATCAAAGTATACAATCCTTAAATATAAAGGGTTGGTAGGGATAGACTGGGATCAGAGAATTGTATCATTTAACAGTATACTGGATGAAACAAGAGATCTTCCACAGGTAAGTTAATATGACAAAGTTAGCATACTCTGTAAGAATGTTAATTAAAATTTTTTGTTGATATTATCATATTATAGCAGCCTACAAATATGAGGGATTTGGAAACCAAAAAGATTGTCTCAGTTAAATATCTAGGTTTTGTGCAACATCAATTGTGCATTTCAGTGGTGGAACATGATTTTGATTGGACATAATTTTTTCAATAGAAAAAAATGTTAAAAATGTTTAAAAAAAGGTCAACAGGGCAAATCAATTAAATGCTTATTGAAAGATATATTTCAATAATTACCAACTTTACAATTGTTTTACTTGAAATTGAGAGTAGCAAACATAAAATCTTGCCCTCCCCCATATTTGTGCTTTTCATAGTGCTTTTGTATGCAGTCTAATGCATTTAATTGTGCTAAGCAAAGCATAGAAATTGACATAAGCTGCTGTTAAAATACCATTCTTTAAAAATACTTGAGATAGAAATATAATTCTGAATACATTAATTGGTAAAAGACAACACCAACTATCCTGTAGTTTCTGTAGAAATCTGTGAACGACTGAAATTTTCTGAAGCTAGACATATCATTAGCCCCTAATTGTACATGTTCAGATCCCTCCAAACTGGTCTTCAGTTCAGTATATGATTGAGTCTTGCTTAGGTGCACCTGATTTACTTGTAGGTTATAGTTTTTGTCTCTCACTACCCAAATATGTTTTGTGTACACCAGTTTCCTCGAGAATAAAACTGACAATCATAAAATTGTTTGATTGTTAAGAAAGTAGTCTTTTATGTTTTCATGCCAATAAGCACAATTAATAAAGAACATGCATTCACCTATTCACGAATTCACCTACATTCCAACTGACTCCATTTTTCGGAAATTGACATCTGTAACAAACATAAACTTTGAGCTACCTCTTTACAAGCAGAACCAAATACAATGAAAGTTCCAACTATGTACTGGCTTATGAAGCTCACAAAACACCTTCCAAATATAGATTTATTTTGTCTTCAAGCCATTGTTCCACTACTAAACTGTCTATTCTACTTACTAGTACACTTGGTACAATCAAAAACCTGGTAATAAATTGTTCAAATAAGGCCTTTGAAAATAGTGGAATTAATTACTTTTGGAGTGTCAAAAATTTGTTGGATATACTTGATAAATTGCATGCTTATATTGGTGTTTTGGAATCTGTTCAAAGTTTTGATTTTTCTACCCTATATACCACTTTGCCTCATAATTTTATTAAAAAAAAATTCACACACCTAATTAAATGGGCATTTAAAAAGTCAGAATGCAAATATATATGTTCAAACTCTTTTAGGTCATTTTTTAGTAACAACAAACAAAAGAACTATGTCAATTGGACCTGCTTTGAAACGATAACTGCCCTTGAATTTTTACTAAATAACCTTTTTGTTCGCTATGGAGATTCTGTATATTGTCAAGTTATCAGAATTCCAATGGGCACTAACTGTGCACCACTTATTGCGGACCTGTTTCTGTATTGTTATGAGTTACAATTTATGACTAAAATCAGCAAAGACCCATCGAAACAACATCTGATACAAAAATTTAATAACACTTTTAGATATTTGGATGATATATTGGCTCTCAATAATGAAGACTTCAGTATGTACACTAAAGAGATTTATCCTGCTGAACTGACTTTAAATAAAGCTAATACTAACAATGAACACTGCCCTTTCCTGGATCTTATATCTATATCTTTAACGGGAAGCTTAATACCAAAATTTATGATAAAAGAGGTGATTTTTCATTTCCTATTGTTAATTATCCATTTTTAGATGGTGACGTTCCCTTGTCACCATCTTATGGTGTTTATATATCTCAACTTGTTCAATTCACTTATGTATATAACAATGTATTTGATTTTAAAGAAAGAAATCTCTGTATTACTGAAAAATTATTACACCAGGGTTTTCAATATCACAAACTAGTCAAAACATTTACTAAATTTTATCATCATACCAGGACATCAGTCGTAAATATAAATCAACATGCAGACATCTTATACATTCAGGTATTTCACATCCAATCTTTTATGGTAATATTCTATAAAAAGCACAAAAATGTCGGCATTCACCTCAAAAGCTATCCAGAAGAGGGATTGTGCTTGATTTTCATATGATGAAGACATAATCTTTCAATCAGTTTAATTGAGTTCTGGAGCTGGCATGTCAGTAACTGCTAGTACTGTAAATTCAGAAATTATTGCGAGGTTTTTATAAATGCGAATAACGTGAATACTTGAGTATCGCAATAATAAAAAGTTGCATTCTGATATCAAATACATATATCTGTATGTAGCTTTTCCGAAATTTGCAATAGTTAAACTCGCATTTTTGTTAATTTTTCAAAAATCGCAACAATAAATGCATGCAATAATTTCTGAATTTAAAGTAGTCCTTTGTTAATTTATGTATCATTGTCATTTTGCTTAGTTTCTTTTGTTACCTATTCTGACATCAGACTCAGACTTCTTTTAAACTGAGTTTTACTGTGCGTATTGCTGTGTGTTTGTTTTTTCTACATTGGCTAGAGGTATAGGGGGAGGGTTGAGATCTCACAAAACATGTTAAACCCCGCCGCATTTTTGCGCCTGTCCCAAGTCAGGAGCCTCTGGCCTTTGTTAGTCTTGTATGTTTTTTTATGCCCCACCTAGGGGCATTATGTTTTTCGGTCTGTGTGTCCGTTTGTTTGTCCGTCCGTCTGTCCCGCTTCAGGATAAGGTTTTTGGTCAAGGTAGTTTTTGATGAAGTTGAAGTCCAATCAGCTTGAAACTTTGTACACATGTTTCTTATGATATGATCTTTCTAATTTTAATGCCAAATTAGAGTTTTGACCCCAATTTCACGGTCCACTGAACATAGAAAATGATAGTGTGAGTGGGGCATCCGTGTACTATGGACACATTCTTGTTAATTTTAGTTTATTTATATGTTTTGGAGTTTAGTGTGACGTCCATTTTCACTGAACTAGTACACATTTTTGTTTAGGGGCCAGCTGAAGCCCTCCTCTGCTTAAATTTTCTCGCTGTGTTGAAGACCCATTGGTGGCCTTCGGCTGTTTTCTGCTCTTTGGTCGGGTTGTTGTGTCTTTGACACATTCCCCATTTCCATTCTCAATTTTATTGTCATTCATTGTATTCCTATGAAAAAAATGTAGTTGGATAGACTGTACTTTAATGTGATGAATTAAAACACAAAATCTCTTCTTTTCCTTTTTATTGCAGGATTTCATCATAAAACTAATGTCTACAACAAAAGGAACTTTATTTAATTTAATGTTACTGCAGAAGGACAGAAAGACGAGAATGGTTGGACTAATTCATCATATTTGTCAGACTCAAGCTTACTTTAATAAGAACTGCTAAGAGGTGCTTGTTTGGAAAAATAATGTTATCCAGAGAATTGTATATTTTGTTGTTTAATTTGTACATTGATTGTTGATTTTTTTATGAACTTGATCAGTTTTGTATTAAATATCTCATTGAGTTTTAAAAAGCAGTGGTGATTAACAATCTCACTTTAGATCATGGTTTCTCTTAGATATCATGAACACTATAAAGAGACACAAACTTAAAGATATGACTTTAGTTCATTAATCTTTGAAATACAATGGAATACTTGATCATTTGACAATTTACAATAAGGAATTAGCAAGTACATTCACATGGGATCATCAATCTTGGTCAGAAAGATTATGGTCAAGTCTTTGATATGAAAATGAACCTACCCACATCACTAACAAAAAAATAAATTATCAGAGAAATGGATGGTCGTACACTTCTTGTTATACATTTGAGGGTTGGTATTTGTATAAATATTTGATAAAAAAAAAGCAGTCAAGTAATTAGAAAAAGTTTGATTTTCCACTTTCTGTATAATATGCAAGTTAACAAGAAAAAACATCACACAGTAGTTCTGTTATTAATAATATCTGATATGGCAGTCCGGATGACATGATGTTGTAACAATAATTTTCTGGCATCATCAATGTTACATTTTAAGATGGTTGCTACTAAGGCTGTAGGAACTACCTGTAAAAGATGAAGAAGAATTTCATGTCATATGATAATGTATTGGAAAGAAATCAGAATTACTTTATTTATTGTAAAACCTTTAGCATGACATTGAATTTGAAAAAAACTTATTATCAGTGGACTTTGCTTTAATCAAACTAGAAAAAAAGATAAATAAAATTATAAGTGGAACGAAAAATGAAGCAATATTTTTTGAGCTGTTCCTATACCTTCTCCATAGATGTGGCTTTGACTATATGATCCTTGACTTGAAGAGATTTTAGGTCATCAGACAAATCATCTGTCATGTAGATTGATTTCAATAAGTATTCCTGGCACATTTCTTTTGGCAAATTTGAAAAATTCTGTGGAAGATAAAGTATTCATTTGTATATTAAACATTTACAACAGTCTAATAATAGAAAGGCTTTTCTTTCTCAAACAATTATATTAAGCATCTTGAAAAATAAAATTCAGTTCCTTAGAAAATGATCAGCCTAAATGCATCATATTGCTAGTTGTCTAGCATTTCAATATTTGACAAATTAATGTTCCCTTAAGTTTTTTGTGTCATACAAGAACATTTCTGATGCCACAGTACGAAAGTATGACAGCAATATGGAATGTGTCAACAAATCTTGTAAAGTGTCATAGAATTTCAAATTGAGATAAAGTTTATACTGTTATTCTTTAGGCTGTTCAACAGCATATAAATTCTTATTTCAAAGATATGAATGAATATTGAATAAGATTCAAGAATCACTGGATGGAAAGACAATTTAAATGAAAAAAGAAAAAATACACAAAACATATCATGTGAAAAAAAACTAATGACCAACAACACTATCTATACCTTAGACATGAAGTAGCTCAGTTCTTACCAAAATAGATGTAGTTACACTTGTAAGGAAATTTGTCATTACTTAAACCACACCAGTTCCCACAAATATTGCATAGCAATTTAAAACATTTGACATATCATAAATAAATTGAAAAGTGATTTTTGCATGACATCAGAAGGTTATTTAGAGACAGATCTAAGGTTATTGGAAGACAATTCAGCTTAATGCCTAAAAAGTTCAATGTTAGTCCTCAGTATCATATAGCACTTGGATTATGATTTGTATTGTTTCTATGGACAACTTACTTGTATAATTCCAACAGCTCTGAAGAATAGTTTATTATTGCTGCAAAAAAAATTTAAATAAATATTAAAATCTCATTATATATATTCCTATGACTATATTCTAATCAATAATATTAACTCATTTACAAAGACTGTATGATATGTTTATGTTTATTTTTTTGAGTGCGAACAAAATTGCATTTACCTTCTACTTAAATTTTTTTTCGTTACAAGACAGTACAAATTTTCCATGAAATTTTTTAATATGAATATAAACCCAAAATGGGCTAAATTAAAATAGAAGTTTTCAATTCCAACTTTTACCTTGACACTCAAGATTTACAATAATATTAACTAATTTACTGAGACTGTAAAATATTTTATATTTTTGGGTGGCAAAGAAATTGCATTTTTTCTTCTTTTCTTTACAAGACAGTACAAATGTATCCATGAAACGTATCAATATGTATTTAGATGGGATAATTAAAATATAACAAGTTTTTAATTCCAACTTTTAACTTAACACTCAAGGTTTATAAGTGCATTAGAATACTTGACAATAATAAGTATTTACCCTGATATTTCAGATTCAAATGCAATATTTTATTTTCAAATAGTTTATTGTCATACTGATCACTGCATTAGTGGTCACACAAAATCTTCATACCAAAATATACCTTTGAATATAAGGAGATGTGGATATTCAACAATTGGACAGCAACCAAACAACACCTAATTAATACATAAAAATGATAACAGGAATCACCAAAAAATTTGGACATCACTACCACAAATTTATGGCTACAAAAAACAATCTACATATGTTCCAGAGACTACAGGCACAAATTGTGGGTTATACCAGTCTTAGAAGTCTCATAGAGTCTGTGATAATATACAAGTGTAATTACGATATTATTACCTGACTTTCAAATCAACCATAATGTTCTGATACACTTTGCCTTTAAGAATATGTGCTCCTGTAGTGACAGCATTAAGAATCCATTTTGTTGAGAGTTCTTTATAAAGCTGTCCCCAAGATTTATAGTGCTGATTACCCAAAGGTTCTGTTATAAGATTAGATAAATCTATTGACACTGTACAGTCCATTCTATCTTCCTGTATCTGTGTAAAAAAAAAATGAAGAAAAAAAACATTTTGAATCTCACACTTAACTTACACTGGACTATATATTAAGTTGATGTAGTAATTTTTGTCTCGCCTGCAATGAAAATCCCAGTATGCTAGACATCAGTATTGCTATCTGTCAGCGGCAGGGTAAACTATTTGTATAAATCTTTTTATTTCAGAAGATAGAAGACCTGGATGCTTCATACCTTGTATGCATATACCTTATGTTTTTAAGTTTCCGTTTGTCCTATGTTCATTGTTCTTGATTTCATTTTCATGGTTCAGCGACTGGGTGAAATTTTTTTTTTTTTTTTTTGTCATATGAATTTCTCACTTATTATGAGTACATGTAATGGATAACTATGTTTGGTATATGGGTTCCTTGCAACGTCTACAGGTCTGTCAGACAGGGATTTTGTGTTTTTGTCTGTTTTTCAAATACTTTCAGCAGTAGGTCAACTATATTTGGTGTATGGATTGATTGTAAGGTATATATGTCTGTCTGGCAGGTATCATATGTCCTTGGTCTCATTTTCATGGTTTATTGGTCAATGTTATTTTTTTTGTATTGGTCTGTTTTTCAAATACTTTAAGCAGTAGGTTAACTATATTTGGTGTATGGATAGATTGTAAGGTGTACGAGTCTGTCTGGCAGGTATCATCTGACCTTGACCTCATTTTCATGGTTCATTGGTCAATGTTAAAGTTACATGATTAGGTTCCATTTCTCAGATACTATAAGCAGTAGGTCAACTTTATTAGGTTTTGTGTTTTTTTCTGTTTTCAGTTACCAAAACCAATAGGTCACCTATATTTGGTTATGGAATCAGGGGCAGATCCAGCCATTTTTAAAAGGGGGGTTCCAACCATATGTCCCCATTCAAAAGCATTGATTGTAAAAAAAAAAGGGGGGTCATAAAATCAATAGTCTGTAAAGCAGGCAAGACATTTCAGTGTGTGCACTCTTGTTTATGCAATTATATCTATTATCATAAAGATAAAAAAATGACAACCCTTTAAATTCACCTGTTCAATACTGATTTAAATATATAGCTAGTATTGATGTTTCATTTTACCTTTTCTGCACTATAGAAACTAACACAAGCTTTTTTGCATGTTGATTTCCATAAAATATCTGACACTGAACAGGATTCATCTAGAAAAGTATGTATGTCCCATTAATAAAGAACTTCTTGTAATGTGTAATATAATTAAAATATGACGCAGAGAAAGCATACTTCAACTGGGAGTTTGAAACTAATAAAATGTTAAAATTTCAGAAGTTACTATTCTGTAAGAGAACATTGTAAGCCTTAGAGAAATTGTGCAAATGGATATCATATCAGGTTTTTGAAAAATTACATTTTATTAAAGCATTTGCTGTTAAAGCAAAGTGTAACAATAATTAAAGTATATGTTCTGATTTGTAGAAGTAAAATAGTAAGTTTATTTTCTTACAGTTACATATTGAAAAATCCCATTAAAAAAATAGATGTAATTTACTTGTACTACCTTTCATTAGTAATATAACCAAGTCAGATTCCTTTAAACCAGGTACTACATCACTTTGGAATTCATCAATTGAAATCCTATAGTATTTTCCCTAGACAAAATAAAGTAACAGATACACAAATGGGCAGAAATTCATTATGCAGCAGTCAATACAATGTCCAAGGGAAATAACCAATACTTTCTTTTCAACCTATCCATTGTAATTGTCAACATTGTATGGAATGGATGATTGAAATTTATGGAAGTAAAATATATGAAGCACCAATTATTGAAGAATAGATATGGAAAAAAATGTATAAAAAATGTTTGTTTTAAAAAACTCTGCTAATGATGTTACATTTTAAATTATTAAATGTTCTAAGGTATTCTTTAGGTTCTTTTATCCCTGTGACTATAAAAAGAATTTTCAAAAAATCTTCCAAACATCTATGAAGATTCTAAAAATAAAATTGAGGCCATCTTTGACATTAAGTTTATGTCTTTCCGAACATTATAACATTATTGTTATTATCGAACATTATTGTATTTGACATGTACTCATTTGGAGTACATATTTTGTCACTAGATGTTGAGTAACTGCCAATCTATTTGCGTTTAAAATGTTGAATTACATTATTTTATATGAACTTGTAATGAAATAGCACATATTATTTTCTGTAGTTGTAAATGGATTCTGATTGTTTAACATCTTACCATATATTTCACTCAAAATCTTA